GTGCGGCGGAATCGGCTCGGCAGTGCCAGCTCAAGTTGTACAAGCCTTCATCATGGCCCTTTAGGTGAGCCTTCGGAGGAGGAACCTGAGCCGGTGGTCGAGGAGAAGCGGCCCAGATGGCAGACAGCAGTTCCTCTTTCGTCCGTCTGGCCGATACAATAATGCGCAAGGATTAGGCCGCAGATGAGCGTCAAAGGCCACATTTGGCTGAAGACACTCTCGACTTGTTCGAAGGAATGTGCAGCAAACCTCGCTCGGCAGAAACATGCAGATGGTGAATTTAGACCTTGCAAAGCCAGCAGCCGACCCCTTAAGCTTGAACCGCAAGCTGAACCGCACGACAAGGCCAGAGAAGAAGAAGAAGGCCAAGCTTAAGGGCAGAGAAGATGCCGAGGTCGAGCGCCCAGGGAAGGCAAAAAAGAAAGGCCGGGCCAGTTGCGCGCGCCTACCAACTTTCCAGCTACAAAGGCAAGTAACTGGTGTCCAGGCACCACGCCAAGAGCAACCATGCGAAGCAATTCTATGCGGAGAAAGAAGCAAACCCTCTACATTGAAGGATTCTTGCGTCTTCGTCGTACCCGCGACCTGTCATCGCTGCTCTCCGAAGCCTCTTGCTCCGTCAGACACTGAGAGTATGCGCAGCTTTGTAGGAAAGAAGAAGAAAGACGCTGAAGATGAAGAAGATGATGTGGCACAGAAGGAGGCATGACATCCCTAGCTTGCTTTGTTCTGCGCTTGCTCCTGCATACAAGCCAGAGGTTACTGAGGAGGAAGAAGATGAGGAAGAGGACGAGGAGGACAGATTCAGACTCGATGCCTGCTTGCTCTAGCCGAACTGTATCGACCATTCCACGAACCGTGGTTTCCACTAAGTTCACGGCTCCTTCTGAAGCAGAGACCAAGGACCAAGGAATCATAGCCCCTCCAAACTCAGCCTTGGCCCCCCAGCCACCTGTGTGGTACTGGTATAAGTGCCGGGTCAAAAAGGCTGCGGCCAAGAAGAAGAAAAAGAAGAAGAAGAAAAAGCACAAGGAGCTGCGCCGCAACGCTGCTTTTCAGATGTCTGTGCAACATGAGAAGCGTGACGTTTGTATGTTCCGTTGGGATCGATGGCCTCGGTCACTCTGGGACGGTCAGCTGCTATTGACGAGGAGAAGAAGCACAAACACAAAGACAGCCAGTGCGATGAAGAGGCGCAGGGTGGACACATCAAGCCCATGAACACCAATCGGACTCATCGGATCGCATGCCCGTCATCTTGACAGCGTCTAGGAAATTGAGGGCTTTGGCAGGGATTCTGGTTCTCGCCATGCTGGGATTTGTCCTGCAGATCCTAGCTTTAGCTCAATGCCATTTTGACACATTCCCCAAAGGACTATGGAATCTGCGATTTTGATTGTTTGCTAATTCATCGAGGGTCTGGCCGAACGTCCTTCACGCTGGGACAGCCAGTTTGCGTCACATAGACGGTTGAATGTAGCTTCCCACGAGGCGAGCGGCGGCGATTGCGAAGAGGAGGAGGAGGCAGAGGAGGAGCTTGACAGCCGCCGCCACACCTTTTGTTAGTTTGGAGCTTGTGCTGCATAGGAGGGTCTTTCAAATCTCCCACTCCTGCAATATCTGCCAGAATCCCTGACAGATCGCCGAGCTGCGCACCTGTCCTGATGTGAGGAGCCCAAAGCGAGAAAGGAGAAGAAGAAGCACAAGAAGGACGAACGCGAAAAGAAGGAGAAGAAGGATGCCACAATGTCCAAAACCCTTTGAACCGTTTATCTACTGCAGCTGGTCTAGCTTGATACTTGTAGTTAGGAGCTTCGAGTTGGATCTTGCGACCTGGATCGCAGCATGCCCCAGTCTACTATCCGGTACAATGAGAATAATGAGAACATATGAGGGCTTGAGAAAGGCCCCAATGCAAGTTGGGACCGGTCCTGTATCCTCAGGCGAAGAAGTCTAAGACGCACAAAGCGCGGAATGCCTTGGCACAGGAGGATGAAGAAGAAGAGGCCCAAGTGCGCTACATGCGCTTCTGTGAATATATATAACATATAAGAGCCGGAAGCATGTCTTCTTGTTTGTTCTTGAGGCCCCGGAGGATGAGTCCGAGGCTGCTCCCTGTGCCGAGCCCTCGGATGAGGCGCAGGGCCCTTGGCGAAGTGAGCGGCACTGCACCGTCCTCGCCTCGAAGGACGCGGACCTTGTGGCTGAGCTGCATGCCATGCGGCTGCGAGCGCGCGAGGACGCCGGAACTTATGTCTTAGGTTTTGACAGCACGCAAAGCTGAACAAACACCTCTCCATAAACTCTGAAGCGCCTGCATGTCTATCTCTATCGCATAGAAAACTCTCAAAACCATTGGAGACCTGCACAGGATTGTGGATCGAACGGATCCAGTCAGCGTCTGACAGACCGACGCTACTTAGTCTGCCATCCTAGGCCCTAGAAACATCGCAGATCAGGCGAGCTGCAAGTTGCTACTGGTCCCTCATTGCGCCCAGACAATACAGCCGTAAAGGTCCAAATATTGAACCGTTGGTTTGAGCTGGAATTCGGTTGGCGGGCAGAGTACCCTGCAAGCAGAACCAGGGTCCCACGCCCGATGCCGAACTCAAACCCAGTCTCTTTGGCCCAAGCCCAGTGAGCGGTGAAGGACCGTGAGAGGACACTCAAAGCAATGCGGAAGGCTCACCAGGAGGTGGCATCAGTGGCATCCACAAGGAATCAGAAGGATAGGATTTCGGATTCAGATATTCCTATCGTTCTTGTTCTTTAGCTGCGGAGTTCGGCATAGAGCTGGGCAGGTGCGAATGCACGACCAGACTCGAGTGGCCCCAGCCGTCTCAGCTCGTGAAACATCGCGACACTCTTCGGAGGAGAAGAGTTTGTTGTACTGAAGTACGTTTCTGGATGCCTCTCAGGCGGATGAGAACGAGTCGCAGGAAGCGCCGGCGAGGAGTAAGGCCGGTAAGACCAAGGCAGGCTGCCTGAAGCTGCAAGACTTCCATAGTCAGCTATTGCAGCTTGCATTGGGGCCATGTGGCGAAATGGTGTTCTAGCCTGAACGCCCGATTCACATGCTGAGCTGCAGGCCAAGCTCAAACAAGCCGAAGATGTGCGGAAGGCAAAGGAGATCAAGGACAAAAAGATGAAGGACCACAGCTGAGAAGTCACGAGTAGCCTGCGAGGCCACAGTGCATTCAAATAAGTCGCGGGTAGCCTTCGAGCCCACGGTGCATTCAAATTCGCGAAAGTGGCTCTGGCTTTGAACCATGAGGCTTGACAAGCTCAGGTTGGTGCTTCAGTACCTTCTTAATCGAACACACGTTGTGCAGTTGCTTCTGATTTCAACCTTCTTGGACCATGTTGCGCGTGCTTTGCTTTAGCTGACGATTTCGTGGGCTGCTGGTGTATCTGAACAGGCCAGTGCTTTTCAGAACGACACTGCTTCATCATGAACCTTTCAGACTGCTAAGATGGATATTTGCAGGTTTTGGGTTAGCACTGATGGCGGTCGATGGTGTTCTCTGGACCGCAGGACAGAGGCACCCCGCAAAAAGACAAGGACAAAGGAATTAAGAAGACAACAACGAAAAGGAGACCCAGCAGCGAGGACTTTCGACACTGCCGCGCTTGTGATCTCGACGCCATAGCACTAGCTAAGGCAGCTAAGGAGGTGCTAGGATGTGGCCAAACACAATCGAAACCACTAAATCGTTTCCTCTCCCAGTTACTTGTGTTAGCTGAGCAGGTCTAGAGCAGCAGCATCGGCCGCTGGCAATCTTTAATACTATCCACAGTAGGGTCCACATCAACTTCCCCTGCAATTCTGAAGAGACGGGTTGTCATGTCGCCCAATCTGTTCCGTTTTCCTTTGTATGCAGTGGACTGCATTCGTTGCGATACATACATGAGGAGCCTCCCGCGGACAAGGCACCGAAAGAGTTGGTGAAGAAGAAAAGGCGGACGTGAGCCCATCCGATGTGAGCATCACCTCAGGCTGTCAGCCTCTGCTGCAGCATAGTCTGGAAAGCTTCGTTCAGGTTCTTCTAGACCATACTGAGGCCGGGAACGAGCATTCGAAGATTCTCCTTGTCACCCCTTTCAGCACACAAAAACACTCCCATCACGTATCATGTCTCCAAGCGGCTGCGCAGTGACTGGAGGGGTGCCACATTTTACCCCCGCACCTCGGGCCGAAGGTGCGAAGCAGAGCTTCACAGCGGCACGATAGCCCATCAGCGGTATCAGGGACAAGTGGGCTCAAGGCCATGCATCCCGCAGTTTGTAGTCCGAAGATCGGGACTTCAACAGTGGCAGATGCTGTATCTGGTCGTGGAAAAGACACTTTGCTGCCACATGGAGCTGCGACACGAAACGAACATGATGATCAACGGCAGGCGTAGTAGACTCAGTCTAGGTAGCATGGTGCGATGCACTGCCTCGACAAGTTGTTCGCAAGTCGGGATTGCGGAGTTTAGGCTTTGGGGTAGAAAGAGTCGTGCAGTTCAAGAGCAGCACGTCTTGGCCACAAGAAGAGGCGCTTCTTGAAACTCTTGAAGCTATTGCTTCTAACCCGCACCGTCCAAGCAAGGCATTAGAGGATGATGCACATCATGCGCATGATTGGTTGAATGAAACAGCCTCGCTTCCGCCTTTCACGGTATGGTATTGCATGGTTTACTTCATTCCGGTGAGGCGGATTGTTCACGATTCGGGCCTCGCGTAGCCCGAGTTTTGAGAAACGTCGCATCGATGTCGCAGCCGGTGCGGCAGCGGCCCTTTATCTGCCACGGTGCACAGCTTCGTACGCATGCTTGGCTGTTTCAGATTCGGGAAGGTTATGCGCCTTGCATACTCATACTCATAGCACAGCTTGTGTCATTGCCTAATTGTCTTCTGCCTTACTCGTGATTTTCAGCAACCAACCACTGTGCAAATATAAGCAGTGGTTTGGTTCAGCTATGGTCCAAAATCATATAAAAAAAAAAAGGAGTGGATTCATGGCTCGCCATGGCGGCAAAGGGTCCTCCTCTTTTGGCTGGGCGAAATGTGGCGCGTTTGTATGCCGCCTGCCTGTACTAATCACTAGTCCCTTAGACGCCGGGTTCAACTAAGTTCTTTCCATGCACCTGCTTCCTGACAGTTTCCAGTACGTTCCATGCCCAGGTGGTTTATGCTCGCTGTACATCACTTACATGCTAGTGTCCCTCGTGCCGACGCCTCCTGACCACATATCAGCGCGTCCAGCAGCAGCTGTATTGCCTCGATCTATGAGTACGAGGCGCTATCCACGAAAGTAAGCGGAACGCTGCTGTGGCAGTGAACTAACTCAGCTTGGAAAGGTCATAGTGCGCTGTGTTGCACGTGGTGGATAAGAAGTGCAACTCTTAGACTTTTTTAGTGCTTGACGCAGTGCTGGAAGCTGGAGCTCGTGAGTTGTGATTCAGCCCTATGCTCGCGAAGGCGAGCTTCACAGACTCTTTCCTACGGTATGGTTTGATTCCAGGGGCTCTAGGTCGCCTGTGAAGTTTGCTTCTGTTGGAGGGGTCGGTGCAGCACCATGTCCTGATTGATGGGCAATTAGTCTGGCATAGTGCTTGGGCTGGGGCCACCCACTCAGCTGAGAGCAAGATCACACGAAAAGCCTGTCAGGACGACAGGCGTTTTGGAGGCACAGCCCATGATGACCTCCGGAGATCCACCAGGACGGCAGTAAACATCTGCCACCGTCACAGACTCCAATTAATTGTCGAGTTTGCTTGCTTGGCTAGCCAAAAGAATCCGCATGTTATTGCCGTTATTGCTTTTGGTTTATCCGTCGCGCCGATCGATAGAACACTGGAAACTCGCGGCCGCGAGCATCCTGCGATCAGGCCGATAGACTGAGTTTATCATCTATTGTATCGTTGCTTTCCTTGTAGTCTTTCAAAAAGCTGGCTGGCTCGCAAGCAGCTCATACATGCGGTGATGCTCGCCGGGCAAAGCTTCGTGGCAAGGGGACGCCACATGGATGCTGATGATGCTGTGCGGCACGGGTTGGTTTGTCGAAGAATGCCGCGCTGCCCTTTGTCAGGTAAAGTCTGCAGACTCATTTGTGTGGCTGGACTAATGCTGATAGTTCGCGTGGTTTGCTCGTGTGGCGGGGGCCTTGTCGAGGAAGGCCTTCATACCAATGCTCATGATACTTGGCTGCTTGGCCCGTCTGTTGTTGGGAGAAGGCCCGCACTGATGCGAGTGTAGCACAGGGTCGCCAGTCTGATGCAAGTGATACTCATGTGGCGGAGCCTTGTCGAAGAATGCCCGCGCACTGGTGCAACCGGTGTTGATGATGACTCTGCAGCACAAGATTTTGCAGACTGATTTTGCCTGTCATCGGGAGCTGACATTGGCAGTTTAAGGGTTGCATTAGGGGATCTACAAGAGTTCTGTCAAGGTAATAGTATATACATGGGCCTTGATGTAGTCCCTATATAGGCACACTTAGACCTTGCACTGGGTCTCTTGGGCTGTGGCCGCGTTACCGGCCACGCTGCAGAAGGAGAACTTGCTTGTCTCAGCCACCGAGGGACCATGCTGGCGCTTATGAAGGTTTTCAGCTTTGTCTTCAGGGTGGAGGCACCCCCTACAGATGCTGATGATGCTCACGTGGAGGGGCATTTCGGCACACTTCCAGCACAAAGCCCATCTGACGACAATCATCTTTTTCGCCACCTCGCATGTGGAACAGCAGGCCCCGGTAGCTCTACCGTACTCGTAGCTTCATGACGCTATCCGATCGTGCTTGCAGAGGAGGCTCTGTAGCGCAGACCCTTCCTATATCTGCCAGTTATCTTCGAGTTCTTTTGGGCGGGGGTTACCTTGTAATGTCAGACCCTTTTGCTTCCAGACCCGCATGTTCAATGTGCGTCCGATGGCAGATGGTGTTCCATGTTTACTCTGCTCGTTAGGTGGGTGTTGGGCACTGCTGGCAGATGGCCGGTTCATGCTTCCATCCAGAGTTGTGGCTGTTCCATGCAGTGTCCGGAAGCAGATACTGTATGTGTTTCGAAAGGCTACACTGCTTCAAGACCAGAGTTTCGCAGCTTTCATGGGTTGGTGTAGGCGACTTTCACCAGCTCACTGGATTGCCAGGACTTGGCAGCTTTGCTTGGACCGGTTCTGCCGGAACATTCAGGAATGAAACTTGCAGAGCACGGAAACTGATCTGCTGCACATGTGCGCGTCTGTGGCAGCTGCAGCATCAGACCTGAATCCCAGTCGTGATCTCCCGGAAGGATGCGAACCAACAACCTGATGATGGAGTTCATGTCTGTGCGGCTTCGCTCATCGGACAAGTGAGCCTTGCCTTCGGTTTAACTGTATAGTAAAGGCCCGTGATTTGTGAGTGAGCTCAACATGGAGTCACAGAGTTCGTTGGTAAGTCTGCGGGAAACAGGTGGGGAGAGATGTGCAGAGGTAGGTGTGTCCGTGTGTGTGTGAAGACAGTGGAGGGAAGAAGGGACACCGTGTGTGCGGGATCAGTCTTGCGGCTTGTCACGAACCCCTGTGGAACCCAGTCGCTCCATGCACGGTGCTGGAGCGCACACAGATGGATTGCGGTGGTGTTTCCGCAACCTGGCAATCTCACACTTACGAGGCATCGGAATCACTCGCACCGCACGTTGCGTGTAGAAGACATGCCGATCCCTGACGATGTCGGATTTGCTTTGCCTGGTCGGTGGTGCAGGTCGGAGCGTCGGGAGCCGCCTTGCGTTGGTGGTTGGACTTCAATGCTGCTGTCGCCCAAGTCCGTATTTCTGCATGGCTACCCAATGCGGCTATAGAAGGCCAAGTGGATGGTTCTCCGGTGACTGTGCGGCGGCGGCCTGCGGTACTGCCCTTGACTTCGATATCAGCCACGGCAAGCAGTGCATACCAGGGGCGCGGGCCAGAGAGGATGATCGATTCAGATTACGATACCGAGTGGTTTGCGGGGAAAGGTGAGCAGGAGGCTTGGATCCTCCTCGAGTTTCCAGAGGAAGCCACGATAGATTCTGTTGCCTGGACTTGGTGGGCCCAGTCCGTGGCAGACGAGTGGGTGCTGTCAAGCCGCAGGTACTTGACAGGTCCATGGGCTGAGCGCGGTTCTAGCCAAACGATCTCCCAGCCCACTAAGTTCAACACTGAAGTCAAAGTCAATGGCTGGAAGGAGCCTTCCAAGTGGATCCGGCTCCAAATGAAGAAGGGGCACGAGGATCCATGGAACTTCGGTGTCTTCTTTGGCATACGATCCTTTACGATTTTGGGCCGGGATGAAGCGGCTTCAGCCGGTGCATCGGATCTCTGGTGGGAAGGTGGCCCTCGCTCATACTTGGAGGGGCAGGGGACTTAGTAAGTAGGTAGGTTATAAGTAGGGTTATAAGTTCCCTAAATGGAGGTACCCCAATTATAACCCTACTTATAACCTACTTACTAAGTCCCCTGCCCTTCCAAGTACAAGTGCATAGGCGATTTTTGGTTTCGCGGCGGGTGATGTTTCCACAACCTGTCAAAACAGTCAAGCCAGAGACCCGGCAATGACCTCTGATTGCAGACCTCAGCATCAGCAAGGTTCAACCATCCCAGCCGGAATTTGGCTCGCCTTGGAGCATCCCCGGGCACGGTGCAGCGTGCAGGGCCGCGCTGCAGCCCGAGAGCCTGTTTCCCCGACAGGTCCTGCTTCTCGGCATGTGTTCTTCCATTCGTCGTGATTTCAGGATCCGTGCTTTCGCAGCGTGGAGGTTCGGGATATGTTTTGTTGAATTGGTGTGCGGGACGTCAGCTTCGCCGGTGAGCCCGCAAAGCTTCTTGCCAAGTCTGAAGCTGTGTGCTTGGGCCACCCCGGATTGCACTAGATCTCCTATGGTACCGGCATCCCGAAAAACAGCTGTACTGCTGCCTATAACCCTTCCTGCTGAACACTTTGGCACACGCGGCGTGTGGCGACAAGGAGCTTCCCGAAATGGTTCCACGAAAGGTTTTAAGACATGGCTGTGCAAAGACTTCCGAAATGATCGAAACGACTGGCGACATGAGTTGTGTTCAGGTTTGGCGGAAGGCCGAGTGTACCCTTCAGCTGTCTGAGAAGCCAGCAGGCCGTGTGCAGGCCAGGTGTCACAACATCTTTGGCTTCTGTCCATCGGGTTTGCCATCTTGCGGTTCCTTTTGTTGTTAAGAAAATGAAAGAAAAAGAGCAGGCTCCCGACATGAGCATCTTTACATTGGCCGGGTTGCTGACGGTCGGAACAGCTGTGCATGCTTTCCGACTTTCCGGATAACAGGTTCGCAGGGCTTCCCATCTCAGAGGGTCGTGTGGGAGCGTGTGTGTGTGTGTGTGTGTGTGTGTGTGTGTGTGTGTGTGTGTGTACAGCCCTGATAGCAAAGGGACCAAATCCGCGCAGGGGGGTACGGCTCTCTGATGCTACCGTACCCAACGAAGCTATGCATCAGAGAGGGAAGCCAAGCCTGATCAGCTTGGTGTACCTGCGACTGAGATGGCAACCAGGCCAAGCCAAAAATCCTGGCATGACGAGTGTAAGAATGTAAATCGCTCTAGCTACTCCCACCATGGAGTTTGCAAGTGTGTTCTCGACCGGCATTCTGTCAAAGGGCCAGGCGTAGCAACTTGATTGACGTCTTGATACAACTGATCAAGACCTTGAACGCAGCTTCTTGATTCAACAAATCCTCGAATGCTGCTCATCAATTGAATGACTTCTTGATTCTTTCCTACATGAAAGACATCTTGAATGAATTCGTGACCGATTTCTTGATTCCTTCTTTGATTCTCTCCGACGTTCCGGAAATCAGCCTGAGGCCAGGACCCAAGCCTCAATGGGGCAGGACCCTTACCCCAGACGACGCGTTTTTTCAAGGGCACCATGACGTGGCTGCGGCGTTGACCTGCGAAACGTCATGGTGACCCCCAGACGACGTATTACATGCTACTTCCCCAAAATAGGGAAGTAGTTGTGTGTGTACAGCCCTGATAGCAAAGGGACCAAATCCGCGCAGGGGGGTACGGCTCTCTGATGCTACCGTACCCAACGAAGCTATGCATCAGAGAGGGAAGCCAAGCCTGATCAGCTTGGTGTACCTACGACTGAGATGGCAACCAGGCCAAGCCCAAAAACCTGGCATGACGAGTGTAAGAATGTAAATCGCTCTAGCTACTCCCACCATGGAGTTTGCAAGTGTGTTCTCGACCGGCATTCTGTCAAAGGGCCAGGCGTAGCAACTTGATTGACGTCTTGATACAACTGATCAAGACCTTGAACGCAGCTTCTTGATCCAACAAATCCTCGAATGCTGCTGATCAATTGAATGACTTCTTGATTCTTTCCTACATGAAAGACATCTTGAATGAATTCGTGACCGATTTCTTGATTCCTTGTTTGATTCTCTCCGACGTTCCGGAAATCAGCCTGAGGCCAGGACCCAAGCCTCAATGGGGCAGGACCCTTACCCCAGACGACGCGTTTTTTCAAGGGCACCATGACGTGGCTGCGGCGTTGACCTGCGAAACGTCATGGTGACCCCCAGACGACGTATTACATGCTACTTCCCAAAAATTGGGAAGTAGCTGTGTGTGTACAGCCCTTATAGCAAAGGGACCAAATTCGCGCACGGCTCTCTGATGCTACCGTACCCAACGAAGCTATGCATCAGAGAGGGAAGCCAAGCCTGATCAGCTTGGTGTACCTGCGACTGAGATGGCAACCAGGCCAAGCCAAAAATCCTGGCATGACGAGTGTAAGAATGTAAATCGCTCTAGCTACTCCCACCATGGAGTTTGCAAGTGTGTGTGTGTGTGTTCTTGTTCGTTCAACCAACCAAGTCAAGTTCTTAGACGGATGGACGTAATGCACACCGCCTGCCTCTGCACATGGCGGAGCTCTGCCTTCTGCGGCATGTATGCCTGCATCCTTCATTGGGTCAGGTCTCTGCATCCATGGGAGTTTTCGAGGACGGGCAGCACCTTGTGCGCTGCATTACGGGTTGAGGCTTCTGCGGCAGCACGCCCTACTTAGCCTTAGCGCGCCCCTCTGAATCCTTGGCCTTGACCTCAAGCTGAAAGCCCAAAGTCCGGACCCCGTTTCTTTGGAGAAACATCTCAGGTACCCACAGTTGCGTCGGATATTCTCCCGATATTTGGAGTTGGTGCGGGGCCGGGAGTTTGGCCAGACTCTGCGACTTGGGCCTGTCAGCATGGGCTTCCGTTTCCACCCTTTCTTGCTCACTTGTTTGATATCTGGGGCAGCACAAGCACTCAAAGAAGACAGCCAAGCGTTTGGAAAAGCTAGACTTAACGTGGCAAAACTGGTGGTGAATCCATGCGTAGAGATGGTGAACACCGACCGTTGAGGCACTACAACAGCTGGCCTCTTGGCGGCGCAAGCATCAAGCATGCTTGACCTCCAATCGCGCTTTGCAGACCGACGTTCTGAATGTATAACCAGGCTACGTAGACGAAGCCCAAAGCCGAGCAATGCAAGCCAATCAGAGATCTGCAGGTACGATCTCCGAAGTGCGCCCTGCGACGAATCGCAGAGGCAGCGTTGCTTTTCGCACAAGATGACGGAGGCTTGGCTGTTGAGCACAAGTGACATCAATCAGTGCACAGTGTCTAAGACCACGAGTGGACGCGAGCAGGCGGCATGTTCAGAGCGCATCGCAACCTTCAACGATAATCTTTCGCTTCACGGCGGGAACCCACTTGATGCTTTCTTGCTGCTTGGCCTCGACAGCAGTCGGGTCCTGATTCGGGCTTTCTTGTATTTTTCTACAAGCAGCTTGTCCAAGTGTGAGCCTGAATCTAGGTTGGATGACGGATGGGATAATGCAGACAGCCTGTGGGAACTGGACAGGCACCAACTTCGGGATTCTTCACAGCGCGTCGGTCCGCAGTCAGTCCTTCATCACCTCGGGAAGCCTGTTTCAAGAAGGCTCATAAGTGTTTGCAAAATTCATTGTGTACAGTTCGTTCTTTGAGCTACACCATCACCCCACACACTAGCCATGCCGGCATGTCGCGTTGCTCGGCATGCTCCAGAACAATGGAACCCCTTCCGACAGGAAACACTTTCCAGGGGGCTTTGCTTCCTTGGTGCAGCACGGCGCGAAATGGGGCACAAAGATGCTTGCAAAGCATACTGCTGGCTGTGTGAGGGCTTTGGTCTTTGGTATGTTTCGGTGATCAAATTGTTCGGATGCGCCGTATTTCGGGAAGGTTTGTATGCTCTCACCGCACCCGGCAGACTTTCCACCAGAGTGGCATGTTCCGGATTTGTGAGACGTTTGAACCGTGGTGGCCACGAAGCAGCATGAAGTAAGAAGTCCACTTGCTGTGCCAAAGGATGGGCGTTTGGATGTCGCCTTTCGGAGGACCCGATACACAAATTTCGCAGCAGGGCTGAGCTCGTTCGCACTCCCAAACCCCCAATGTTTATCTGTTTCAAGTTCGCAGGCAATTGATGTAACATCGCCGCAAAGCGGCGTAAGCTTTCCGAAACCAAATGAAACGTTCTTAGAGTCTTAAATGCAAACTCTCGAGGAGTTCGCAGCATGGACACGAGCCTAGAGGCAAGAACCTCACAGATTCCTCTCTTCGTGGGCTTCCGGAGGTCTGCCGGCCTACGGCGTTTGAATGTTTTTCATGTTTGCACTTAAGACCTATGACCAAGCAGACGCGCCAGCACACGGGCAAGTCAACCTGGGGTCAGACAGCATTCCAGGATATTCCAGGTCCCTATCGGCCTACCGGCTAGGGGCCGACTGCAATCAGCGAGTTTTGGGAGACAGTGGAAAATAATAAATTTGAAAGGTGAAGAAGGTTTGGTATGGTTGCTCGAACTTGTCTGCCAATAGCCCGTCGCAGGCAACGCCGTTTGTGGTTGAATCTCCCCAAAACACCCCACATGCCACTGAAAGCTGCAGGATATGGTGCGGCCGGTGCTCGCCGTGTCCGACATGGTGCCGCCCATGGTTTCGAGCGGCCTGCTTTCACTTCGCGGGGCTCAGAGGAGAAGCATTGGACCGAGGAATACAGCAAGCAGGTGGTTAGGTTAATTATGGTTGCCCATGGCTGTCCCGAGTTCTGTATAGTTTATGTTTGGCAGCAGGGTTTCGCCGCTACCTTTTGATTCTGCTGTTCGGTTTGTTGGGCTTGCGACTCGGCGATGGTGGTTGGGAAGTGTCTGTAATTCATTGTTCCTGATTCCCTATTCCTTGGGAGGGTTTGGACTTGACTTCGGCCGAGGAGAAGCCACCGGGGGGGCTTCGCCCTCGCAGGGCAGAGGTGCGGTGGACTTCTTTCACGCACTGGCTTTGACTGTCTCAGAGACAAGCATTGAGCTTTCTGGGCATGCAGGTTCCACGGATGATGATGGTGATGGTGATGGTTATGATGATTCATCCTCATCAGCAGCAGCATCATCATCATGTCGAGGTAGGGTTGATTCTCCTGCCACGAGTGGGTGACTGTATGTTTTCAACACGCAGAGTCGCGCATGTTATCGGGTTGCGCCAACACGATGCTCTCTGCGCATGTTTTCATCTGGATTTCTACTGCAACAATCGATTAGGACCGAATGTTGAATGATGAGGTTCGGGACGCATGTTCTTGCTTATCAGACTGGGCTAGAACTTACACGGCCATGGTGCATGCAGGTATTTTGCCAGCTTCCGGTCTGTTGTGCGTGACCGCATTGCTGAAGGACTGCTTCATGCTCCGGATAGCAACAACTTAAGCACTTCGCGTCTACTACGAGCCCGGCAGGCCAAACACACGCAGCAAAAAGCACAGCTGCAGTTGTTGATGCCAAGTCTTTGGAAACTTCCGCAAACATCATATCTCCTTCCGCAGCAGGACCAGCCTCACAGGCACAGGGTTTGTTGAGCTCGGGTGTTTTTCACATGAGCTTGCAGTCGTGCGTCATTTCGGAATCTCCACAATCAGCCCGCAGGTCACACAGCTCAGGCGAATGTCAGCTTGTGCCTAACAACGGCTTCTGATGGATCCACCTGTCCACAAGATTTCAACAGCAAACTAGCCGCTAGCCGCCGCTAGCCAACCCAGCCAGCACGCAGAGACAGGATTCCGGCTCTTCAAGTTCGATGGCTTGGGCGGCGGCTTGGGGCAGAGTGGCGGCGAAGAGGCACAGCTTCAACGGTAATTTGTTCGTGTCATCCAAATTGGCTTGTCACTGTTGCTGGAGACTCCGCTCGATACCTTACAGGGCGGTCTCACAGCATGTCACACGTACGGGGCCTTGACATGGTTCAGGGCCTAGGCTGTTTACCGTAGGTTTGGACGGTGTGGTTGCCAACTCGTTTTCAAATTCAGGAAGATTGATTTCCGCGGCGCCGCCAGACAGTACATTGATGCGCTTGCTGTCAAATTCACACACGAGAGCCATGCACATATGACTGCTCCAAGGGAACGGATAGCCTGCCCAGCAAAAACCCGAAATTGCAATGCATGAGTCTCATGGAAAGGTGACAGAAAGAAAGGCCGAAAGCTGATAGTTCAGCCGTGGTGAGGATCGCAACTGTGTCGCTTTGAGAGCATAGTGTGTCAACGCCGTGTTCCATTGGAACTACTGAGAAATGTGCATCGCGAACTTCCGACCTCAGAGCACAGAACCCACTCCGTGCATACAAACTTAGAACCTTGCCAATACATCGAAGAGCAGGACCGCGACGACTTCGAGGCCATGCTAAGCCTGATCCAGGACCCAGTGTTCGCAGTCTGTGGGCCCTGCACAGTTTGATGCTTCTTGCGGACGGCTCTCTGGCAGTTGAGTCCCCAGTACACAGATCGTTGCTCTTCAGAGGCTTGGCTCCCCGAAGTTAGGTTTTTCGCAGGAAAAACCGAGGAAAGAGTCAGCACAAAATGAAAGGACTGTTTGGGTGGTCCGACCAAGTAGGGTGGGTGGTTGCATCTGCCAAGCTCGTCTTTGGTATACCGTTGCAGGATCTGCGGTCAAGCGACAATGGAGATGTCCCACTCTGGATCAGCAACTGGGCGTGTTATGTTTCTCGAAACTCAATACTGGTGAGATCCCTGCTTCGTCCAGGGCGAACTTGGTTGGGATGTTGCCTGCACGAGAGACAGGTTTGGATCCAATGAACGGCCTGCATCGGAGCTGCGATGTCTATAGAACTCACCTCTTGACATGCAGCTGATCGCACGACCATGCAGCAACCTGCAGGCTTGACCATCGGCACTTGGCCGTCTCCTTTCTGGCTGCTCTGGGGCGACGCCAAGATTCAAAGGGTCTACCCTTTTAGCTCTCCATGTGGATCCATCTGGCTGTCTAGACGTCCCGCGCACTAAAGTCAAACGGATGCTGCGAGATCGTTGGTATGCCGAAGGTTTTTGATGCGCATTCTGTGCAGTACGAACGCGAGAATAGAAAGGCGCCCCCCCCAGATTCATGAACAAAGGATTCGATCTGGCGAGATGGACCAGATGTCGGCGCAGAGGGCACCTCGGATCTCTTTCGATGGGTCGCTGCGGGTTCTGGCGGCTCTCGAAGTCAGGAGCTGTAGAACTTGTTCGCAGGGTCGGAGCTAGTCGGAAACGTGGGCTTGGAGGGTTTCTCAGCTCCCTTTGGCCGTGTCTGGGAGGCTTCGGATCTCCGCGGGACCGATGGTTGAATTTTCGTGACTGGGCCTTGCGCAGCTTGACCTGTTCAAGTATTTTTTCTCGGCCATCGCCGATATAATGCGGCAGCACATGAGACAGAGGGATGGTGATGATGATGGTGATCATCATCATCATCATGATGCTGATGATGAGGATGATGTTGCCGAGAGGGGTGGGGCCGGCCGCTCATGACGTACTCTTCCGAACTCACTTAAGAGTTCCAATGGCCCAACTGAAGTTCAATCAACATCTTCTGCTACTCACCGGTACGGAAGGCTCTGCAAGCCGCATGTATGCACATGGATTCTGCAACCGACGTATCTGCGCTTATGCTCGTACTGAGTACTGCTTGTTGTCATTGTCGGGTCTTCTGCCACGGATGCATAATAGGCAGCTGAGAGCTTTGCAGATTCAATGTTGGAGCCCTTGGGACTTCAGCCGTGTTTGCACAAAGCTTCAATGGTAGCGTCAAGGGCTTAAGGCTTCTAAGCCGCCTCTCTTGAAGCATTGCTTCTTATTTTTGTTACTATGTTATGAGTCTCATGCTTAGTAGTCATGAGTCGGACCCCGAGAACCTCGCTGCTCAGCCCGTGCTGTTGAGCCTCATGAAGTGAGGCTCTCGTGATGTAGTTCCAAAGACGAAGAGACGGACGGATAAGGCATCGGGGCCAACAAAAAACCCGACCGTCTCGGTTACTCGATCTTTTTTGGTAGGACTGCCCGATATACTTGCCCGTGACCGAGGAAGGGCGCAAGCTCGTGGCCCGCTTTTCCCCATGACTGCATTCATGCAGTGCCCTGGCCAAGCTTCCGGTTCTGCAGTAGGATAGACGTGTTGCGTGATGCTCTGGCAGGCTCATTTCACACCCACATGTCTTGCTCAGCTTAAGGTTGCGGAAAACATTCATGTTTCGCTGGTTCAATATTGGAGTGCTGCTGTGCTAGGTGAAGAATAGCCTTATCCCCAGAAAGCCCAGCTGCATTAAGAACTCAGGCATGGCGTGGTATGGAGCAAGTCTGCAGTCGCTGGGCTCACATGGTTCAATCTTCTGTATCTATACAGGCCACGCTCAGTAACACAAGCAACTTTGCTTCGAGTCTTCGGGTCGTTGGCCAGACCCATGACTTTCAGAAACCAGCGCCGGTTTGCTTTGCATACATTCAAGAGGTATCTTGAATGTAAGCCAACCCCACAGTTGAAGCCTTAGCAACGGCCGAACTGGACAGAGCCACTCTGCTTGAACAACGGCTCCTGTGCCTTGCAATCGCCCTCGCCTATGCTTGCGCGAAAAAGAACCTGATACTTTGCTTGCCACAAAGGCCCCAGTCGGAATTCACGACTAACCACCAGTTCGGCCAGGTAGAGGCTATGTTCGGGAAACCAAGTCACACGCGCTAGCACCCGCAGAGCCCAGGAGACCGCCGACATGTGGCCCTCGACAAAAACGACGCTTCTGGCAGATGGGATCGAAGAAGTTTAAAACACTGATGAGTGTGTAGACCTCCCCACCATCAACTGAAAGTACAAAGTGCCAGATAGTGCAACAGTAATGCTAGTAAGGAAAGTATTTGTAATATCCATAGTAACAATAAATAGCATGGTCGGTTTCTTAGTCGCTTACTATACCGTACTAGTGATAGCGGCTGCACTCGTAGAAGAAATAGTCGTAGGAATAGTGGTAACTTACTTTCAGCACCCCTCACAAATATTGAGGCCGGAAAACTCGCCAACATTGGAAGATCCCAGAACACTTCGCAGGTTCGCAATGAGCCCAGCCAAACTTTCCCTCGCTGAGGGATCCCAGATCCTAGGATCTTGGGTTGGGGTCAAGGTTTCTGATCTCTTTGGGCTAGGATTCAGCCGCTCTGGCCGCAATGATTTCAGAAAGATGCGCATTTCCTGGCTGCGCTCCTCGAAGAGGGTGCCTACCAGTGTTCGGCCCGAGCCTCCCAACATTTCTGCGCCACGGCTTCTCAGGCAGATTTCTGCAAGGAGGTTCTGTCATTCTTCCTGGCCGGCACGGGCCTTCAGGACGGCCATGCAGCGAACGACCTTCAAACACTACTGGTAGATGAAGCGGTATTGTTTCGATGGCGGCCCAAAGGTTACCCTTTCCAGTGAAAGTCTAGAAGCGACAGAGAATTCTACGAACTCAGCGGCAGGAGCTGTACATTCAGTCAGAGCTGATGACCACAGACTACTGGAAAGCTTTGGCAGTCGCATCAAGCTTCGCACGAAAGGCTTGCTGGGGTCATCGATCGGGTTTCAGAAGTTTCCACATGCCTTCCTCCAGAGGAGCTTACTTATACTTGCCATTTCAACATGTCGGACAGCACTTCATGCTTCTAACGTGCCTTCTCCTTCGGATGCATACTTTCTAGGCCATGGCATTGATCTGAGCGAACGGTGACAAAGCCTGTGCCACTGTAGATTTGCAAAAGACTTCGTGTGCTCATTTCGAGCCTAGCACCGACTGCCTTCCGATGAACGTCAAGCTGCAAGGAGCAGAAGCTCCTTCGCGATGCGCATGCTATTGGAGGGGATGTGCAGAGAATCTACGGAGCGGCAGCCTTCGACGATGCTTGGAAGACAACTCTTCGGTCGGTGTGCTGTTTTTGCTCCCAGCCACCGTTGCCGCGGATGGAACCGGACTTCCCGGAAGCCCAATCCTTCAGCGTGCGAGCCGTTGACTAGTACACTGTATACTACACCAGGCTAGGCGCGCTTAGCTGCAGATTGAAAATGAAAACATTCAGAATCACTGGCACGCAGATCTGCATCACATGGATGAGGTCATGGCATTATAGGGTAGGCCTTGTGCCACACCTTCCGAACAATCCACCAAGGAGTCAAATCTCCGAGGAGTGTTTTGGTGGCGCATCTCAGCCAAGAAGTCGCCATACCATGATGGATCTTGGAGTTGGGAAACGGGAGGGGGGAGGGGAGAGAAGGAGACAGGGAGGCCAGGGATTCCAGGAGGCAGGGAGCAGGGAGGGAGGCCGGAGCAAGGCACGAATACACAGAATGCTATGTGAAATGTCAAAGTCTTTGTTCGTGGCAGGTGGTTCGCAATAGGTCGCAGTTGTCCTCAGGGACCTTCAAGCATTCTAGCAGACTCGACTGCCTTGTGGTTTGTCGGGTGGATCGCAGCAGCATCTTTGGTTGCGAGGTCGTGGCCAGATCAGGATGACGGCATGCATTGAATTCCGGAGTTGTTCAGTCGTCAAAAACACAGCTCTAGCTGGGTGAAGAGTCCACAGAGCCGGCCATATGTGATTCACCACCGTCGTATGAGGCAACCCTACCGACGACGAGCAATCCGTGCTTGGGCTTGAGTATTTCTGTGTTGCTTTCGAGTCAAAGCCAGAGTTACTGTCAGCCTCGTGACGTCCCTGAGTGTCACGGTCGTATCCACGCAAGCTTCACAAGGACCTCTTCTGAGTGTTCAACGGAGTCCGTGCACAGGCTGTCAGTTGCGCACTTGCACAGCATGCTTTCTGCATAGCATCCACTAGTCCTATTTGCCCTCCCAGGCCGTTTTCTGCGTGGGAGAACTCCTTGAGCTTCCTTCGCGTTCCTGTGCTGCCAAGAAACCAAATTGTCGACAGGGCCGTGTTGGATGTCGCATTGCAAGAGAGAGAACGCAACGTGGTCGCTATCTGTCGAGGAATGGTTTTGGTCCGGTAGTGATGAAAGTTAGCATCAACCCTAGCACGTCTGTGTACTACAGAATCACCATAGTGTCTTCCGATGTTTTACTTTTCGAGCTCTTCAAATGTTGATAGCATGTTGAGGCTTGCTTTCGTCATCCTTCTGTTGGAGCATCAAACCACTCCAGCTCTCGTCCCGGGCTCAGATCACACCACCAATGGGGGTTGCAGTTCCGTTTCCATCGCATGCAGGGCATGCTAGAAGGTGCTACTGGCAGAGGCAGACTCAAGACACACATATCAGCGGTTTTGTACGACTCGCTTCCATCAGAGCGAATGCTTCGCTCCTTACGAGCCCTCAGCATCAACTCCGATCTTTCATGTCCGCTTGAGGGGGGTCGCATGACTGAAGCCAAACGCCACAAACCATGCAGCTAGAACCCGAAAGCCATCTTCAGGACAAACTGTCCGGGCTCAGCACAGACTCATGTGGAGACGGCACGAGCCCTACAGGTACTTGTCATGTCACCAACCCGTGAGGGTTCCTGCATGCTCAGCGGTGTCTTCAAATCCAGGCGTCGTCCAACACGGAGCTTCGAATACCTTTGGAGCCCTTTTCCGTTAATGCGTGGACAATTTCAGCAGTACCTTGCCAGCAACTCATGAAATTGGCAAGATGGCAGTAAGGGCCGGGCTTTTATTGATGCCGCTGAGTACTAGCACATTGCCGCTTGCCAGCAGCATTTGCAGGCCACCTGCTAAACGAAGCCCACTTGGCCGTGCGGTGCGTCCTCGCGATGCCTATGCCAGAAACACCTTCGGCGAGAGTGCGGACCGAACGGCGGGACGCTCCTGGGCCATTCGCATCCGCATCCGGTTGCCGTCGTCCGCCGTTTCTGATATGGGGCACACTCGCAGCAAGCCCCGCCAGAAGCCATCGAATCTCTTCTGCCACAAGACCAGCGCGAGCTTCATGGCCGCTCAGAGCCTCACATGCTTCAAGAGCTTGGAGTACACGACAAGAAGGCAGAGGTAGCCTCCCAGCATCCGATGCGGGAAGGGCCAACAGAGGCCAAGGGCTGTGAAGCACAAAACCAGCCGGCCTGCAGGCCCTGCTGTGAGTGTCTCTTTTTGCGGTTTCCTCCTTGCATATGTTTGCTTCAGCGGCGTCACCGATTTTGAAGCTTTTGCAGCTCCATTAGCTCCATTCGATTGTAGAAAGGTGATAGTAGTGAAACGAAATGTAACAAGGTGGAAGGAGGTCCAAACAGAACTCTCGAGTTGGATCCAAAACACTCGTGATGACCATGCTGCAGCTGCTCATCTTTTACCGAAATCCGGACTTAGACCATGCGGGTTGTGACAAAAGAAAGCAGCAGCAGACCTTATGCTGGCCGATGTGCGTGATGCAAGGCGGCAAGAAGAATGCACCACCGCTTGAAGGCAAACCCTGTGCCCTGTAACAGCAGCCATGGCTACCTCCGCAGAATCCATGGCGGCATTGATGGCGGAGGCTGCGAGGGGCAAGGGATGTCGGCTCTGTGGCGTGTCTGGACTCTAGACCGAAGGATTTCTTTGAGCCGAGGCACGGGCTGAGCAGTCGCTGATCTCCGCGCAATTGAAGGCGCTGCGTGGAGAGGCACAGGGCATCAGGGAAGAGTCGACGACTCGCTGCCCCCGAGCCTTTGCTTCCCTGGCAGGCTCCCCACAACAGTTGGGATTCTTGTGGACTCGAAACTTCGAAATGCATAACACCTCGCAAGAACCCGCTTGCAAATCCGAACTTAAACCTCTAGTGCTCCTTGCCGTTCGCAGGCGCCGGAGGCCGCGCCTAGACGCTTGGACAGAGAAGGAGGCTCAGAGTGGAGGGGCACGCTGCCCATCTTTGCCCCCATTCAAGTCTTCAGACTTCGGAGGCCGAGCTACCACTGGGATTCTTGTGTGGGCCCGGGCCCACACATGTTAAAAACGAAAGCAGCTGTGCTGTGCTGCATGCGCCGGCTGCAAATTCTCCAAACACTGTGCTAACATTGCGTAACATTATGGCGTCCTGGCATTCACAGCAAATAGAATTGATTGCATGGCCGCGCGGTGCAGCTGGAAACCAGGCTCCCCGCATCCTATTATTTACAGCAGATGCTACAAATCAAGCCCCATGTCCTATTGTTTACACAGGATGCTCTTGGTGCGCATCTCCCGCTGTGGTGCGGTGCATCGTTTCAGCTGACGTCCTAATTTGCACAGGGTTCGTGTGCTGCGCTCGGATTATCACGACAACCGTGAATGGCCGCAGCAGCACTTCGGGGAAGCGAATTCGGGTGTTCCTCTGGATCCCACAAGCTAAGGCGGGGAACCATAAGCCGCCTCCTCCCAAAACCCGCCTTTCGCTGCATCCCGCCAGTTCTTGGAGGCAAGCCCTCCGGTGTGGCTCCGATTGTGCCTGTACATTGGGGAAAATATTTTGGGACACTCGTGGTCACCTGGTGCTGTCCTGGGAGTCTCTTCTCGTGGCGGTCTCCTGGTGCTCTCCTCGTAGTCTCATGCTGTTCTTTTCGTGGTCTCCTGATGTCCTGGTGGTCATTTGCTGGTCTCTTAGGTGGTCTCCTGAGTCTCCTGCTTGCAGAGCTCGTCCTGGGTGGGAGCATAATGCAAATGCTGGAAAACACACAGTTGGCAACCAATGTTGACTTCGTAAAAATGACCCCTGCCGTAGATTGATGTCAGGCCCCGGCAGGGTTTGATCATTCGAGGGGGTCCCAGAACTACCATGCCCGCTGACTCTGACTCTTTCTGTGACTCTGGGCGGGGCTGACGAACAGGCCTGAGGTCTTTTAGGAACCAAGTTCCTGGGATCGGGTTTGAGAACTGAGGGTGGTTCTTTAAATTTGAAGTCAAAATTAATTGCGACTTGTGCTTCTCAAACAATTCAGACCCGCTCGCATGTGACGGTGGTCTTGATTTTCTGGTCCTAATGGCATGCTTCTGGTATGGTCTGTCGCTGTTTGTGGATCTGCGCCTTCATACTCTGGTCTGAAAAGCTGAGAAAAAGCACAAGAAGACAGTCGGGGGCGAGCCCCGCATCATGCAGTCCATGCTTGAGCTCACATGAGGCCCGAGAGGCGCCAACACCTCTCCCAGCCACGCCGCTGACCTTGCTGCCAGCTTTGCGGAATCGCACCCTGCTGGCCATGGACTCAGCACGGTGCACGAAGGGCTCCACTCTACAAAGCGTCCCAATCCCATCCAAACCCCAAAACGCAGTCAGCCTATGGAGGCTCCAGCCCTTTGAGCTCTCCTTCGGCTTGGGCAAGCCCACGGGCCGCTGCGCCGAGCAGGGGCCCGTGGGCTAAAGGGCTAATGCACCTCGAGACAGGGCTTGCTTGCAGATTGCAGAGAGAGCGGGGGTTCTTTGGTTTTAAGCTTCCAGCGAGGAAGACTCCTGGATTGGTGAAGCAGCAAGGCAACATGATTGGAGCACGGCCGTTTGGAACTTTCCGTGTTCCTGGAGCTTCCAAGATCATCCGATTAAACATCCCGGACCCAGAGTGAAAGCTCTGGCCTCGGACCACAGCCGCAGGCTTGCCGGGTGTCGACGAGGAGCTTTCTGCCTTAAGAGCCCATGCTCCTGGTCAGCAATCCTGAGGGCCATACAAGGAGAAAGGATGGATGCACAGATTCTCTTCTTGTCGCTGTTCTGATTTCTTGCTGAACCTTGTTTGTGAAAATGCATTGCGTGTTCGTCGCTTTCGTTGCTGCGAGCAGAGCCATGTACAAACTGCTGCATGGATACGAGAGCACTGCACTAGAAGATGAAAAGTGAAGCCAGGTGTGTCCACAATCGATCGACATGGTACTTAGCCAGCTGGACAGGTAGGGAGTTAAGCAGCCAGTGGGTTGCTGAGCAGGCCTTAGGTAGGCATGCACAAACACACACCACTCTGCACATATGCCTCATATGCCATGTGTAACGATAGGCTTACTGAAGTAATTTCAGCCTTCACCGCGCAGCTTTCCTTTTCAGGCATACGAACGGCACACACATTCCAAATAACTGAACGAAGGGGAAACGGGTAATTGAAAACGTGAGTGGAATCTAAGTGCTTCAATGTGCTCCTCCGAGATTTTACAGACACGTTCATGCTGGATGCATCAGGTTGCGATGCAGACGGGTGCTGCACGATTACGCTGAGCATACGCGGCGTGTAGATGGTCTGCGCTCCAAGGTTGCAGACCTGGATAGCGAGCTGCTCCAGCGAGACGCGGCCATCGACAATCTGCAAAGAACTCTGCGTGAGACACAAGACACTTTGCAAAAGGCGCACTGAGAGATTTGCACGCCCTACCGTGGATTGCTTTGCTCGGTTCTGCTTGCATGCCAGGACCATCAAACACGCTTCTGCACCCGTGTCACCCTGCATTGCCAGGCGCTGCTTTCGCCACAGGAGGGCGGCTTGTGGAAGGACCGATACCACGAGGCTCCTGACGAATTGACGAGTGCTCCCTGAGAGACGCCGTTGGCGTTCGGCATCGGAACAGGGCCTGTGGCACTGAGGCACAGAAGCAGAACGAGACTCGAGGGCGAGAGGTCAAAGAGCTTGGCTTAAAGTTAGACACCAAGGAGAGCCTTGGACAGGAAGTTGCTGCAGAAATTTAGTAGACATGATTGTCAAGCGTCTTGCGATAATTGCGCGCCACCGACTCGTAGGTCCATGCGCATACGTGCCCCAATGCTCGACCTTGCTGCGTTCTGCAAGGAAGGAGATCAAGCTTCTTAGCCAGTATGTCCGGAAGCTGGAAGAGGAGGCGCGCATCCGAGACAGCCACCGGGCGCATTTGAGGCGCTTTTAGCAACACCTGACCCCTTAGGTCCTTAACTGGTCCCTTGAATCGGAAGCTGGACAGACCGAAAGCCCCAGGTCACTTGCTGAAAGCATGCAGGGGCTCATGCCATCCACTACCTGAGATAAGATGCCATGCTCAACTGTACCCCCCTTTCTATAAATCTCTTCTCAGCTGGGTGTGGCTTTGTCTGTATGTAGTTATTAAGGCCAGCGCGAGCGGCTGCTCACGGATGCCAGCATTTCACGCAGCAAGCCTCCTGCCGCGAGAAGAGGTAGAACTTTGGAACGTCTCCCAGCATGTGTACAGTGGAGGCTCTGCAGATCTCATTCTGACAGCTTTCGAATCTTGAGGCGAATCTGCATTTATGTTGATAGCGCCTTCTCGTCGCTACCACGAGACTCCGTGTAGTAGAACCCAGTTCCATCAGCTAGAAACGAAGGCTTGGTAACTGTCGACAATAATCCTATTATGTCCTATTTGTGTTGCTCCCAAGTAATTAAACTGAACATGAAGTTGTCACACTTGAGTTGCCTCCCCGGCTTGGTGTCCGTCGTCCAAAAGGCTGTTTCGCACCTACAAAGATGCCGCTAAGGTTCAAGCAGACAGAGTCTGACCAGAAGCAGCTCGTGTCCAGATTGCACAGCCTGGAAGACAGCTTCGCGCGCTGCATTGGAAGAGTGACGCAGGCTTTAACTGCTGGAGTGGTGGGCGTTTGCATCGATGAGGCCCAGCCATTGCCGCGGTTTGTCGTTCTGAGTCCACGCCCGGGTGGAAGTGCCATCTTGGAGATTTTCGAGGAACCTGACTCGCACTGGGAACTTGCAGCAGTGGAGCTCTCGCCGATGGGAGTTGGAAAGAAGCCTCCAGTGACGTTGGACGAGAATGCACTTTCTCTGGTGACCTGCGGCATCTCGGGTGGTGGTGCGGCATACCAAGAGGCTGTGAGTTCCCCTGCCCTAAAGTGTCCCGATAAAGCTTCTTTTGCTAAATGGACTTTCGCCTTCCGAAACTTGGGCCTTCTGCCGCAGTATGGAGCGGTTGCATCTGCACCCAGCTCACCACACGCGGAACAAGCGCCGATGTCTCCGATGTCGCCCACGCGAGGTGCGAGAGTCGTGGTGTCCACAGAGCATACCACAGCTCTGGCGCAAAAGGATGAAGCCCTGACCGAAACGAGACTCAACAGTCTTTTGGGAGCTGTGGAGGGAAACCTGCAGGGTGAGCAGCGTTTAGAAAAGCGGCTCATGGTTCGAGCGTGCGCCGTGGTCATACGGATACACCTGCCCAAGGAGGAACGCAAGGAGAATCTGCTACTGCTCTGCTACCTGCGGGCCTACTACGTTGTTGCAGCATGGGAAGATGGAATCCACTGGGTAAATAGCCATGGGAGTTGCATATACTTGTATTGTGACACGGCCGTGCTCGGCCTGCGCATCGCTCTTCGCATGCAGAGGCTTGTCTTCGAGTTTCCGGAGTGGGCAGAGGATGGGTACAAGAAAGACTGCCAGGGCTGCAGCACCCTTTGTGCGGTCTCTGTTGGCATGGAGGTGGGTAGCCTACTCCCGTTGCGTGGGGACTTCTTTGGGGAGGCCGTCGACGCTGCCATCCAGATGCTTGCTTTTGAATTCAGGAAGACTTCGAAGACCTTCACTTGGAGGCATTACTTCTAGTTCAATTCAAGTCCAGGGCCAACATGTGTCCGCTCATAATCCATGTGATGTATGCCACATCCGCCCTTCGAACACGCTTGAACTTCTCAAGTTAAGTCACAAGGATGGAAGAGATGGCCTCTCCTGGCGAGCTGCTGATCAGCAGCGCAGCCTGCGCGTCAGGGCTTGAGGACGTCAAGAGTCATTTCTGTGGCGCTTCCACGGTGTCGGGTTCGCATGAAACTGAGTTTGTGTTTTGGGAGGGAGTGCGGCTCGTAGGGTCGGGTTCCGGCGTTACGGATTTGTCACGGCTCGATGTCTGCGTAGCCTCTGTGTAAAAAAATCAACTCATGAACTCCCGTCATACGGGCGCTGCTTCAGTGCGAGCTCAACAGGCAATTAATGTCGGTTCTGGGTTTTGCGAGCAAGGACCGCTAGAGGCCGCTCGAGGCGATTACGGACTCGTGCTTCTGAAGCGAAAGCAACAACGCTTCAATGATGAAGCTCCAAACCTCGCATCAACTTGTTCAATCGAAAGCCGGCATACAGCGTTGATGCTGCCTGGGTTTGCCACCTTTGCGTGTCAACCTGAAGCTGGTGGTGTAGACAACTAGGCTTCCGTGGTCTTTCAGGCCGCAGAACGTGTGTTTGCGACACGGGTCCTGGTTGTGATCGTCGGTGCCCCGTAATTGATGTTGCTTTTCGTCACTCATGGCCCAAAATCAGAACTCGAATTGAAAGGAATGCTTATCAAGACCCCATGTGAGGACCAAGAGCTGCGTCTTCTGCGGGACTCTGGCTGTTGCTGGGTCTGACCTACCCCTCCTCGGAAGTCATGAGATAGATCGCACACGCACTTACTCACACAGATTAGGCATATGTGTGTGTGTGTACGTATGTATATGCTGTATATGTATATATGCATGTACATAACTGTTTGTTTACATACACACACACACACACATATATATATATATATATACATGGATATACATGCACACACACATACATACATACATACATACATACACACACACACACACATATATATATATATATGTATTGCATAGTGTTTATACATCCTTACATACAGACATGCAGGCGTACATACATGCATACAAACATGCAAACATGCGCACGCACTCACGGCACATACATACATACATACATACATATGCATGCAAGCATATTGTAAGCATGTATATATTCATATATATATATATATACACACACACCCACATACATACACACATGCATACAGATGTATTACGTCCATATGGGCGCATACACAAGTGGTCCACGGGCCTTTCGAGTCGACATTAGCTTGATCGTTGTGGCGTGCCGGTATACCAAGAATGACGGCACGAACTTGCCGATGCGTTTGCTTGTTCAGCGTACGTGAATGACAGCGCTTTTTGCATCTGAACCCCAAGTTTTTCGGCTGAACCTGAGCACAAACGCGCCTCAGGGGCCCGAAAAAGTCCAGGCTTGGAGCTATCTCAGCGCTCTGCGCTGCTTCCCTCTGGCCACACCTTGAGCTGCCTTTGCGCTGTCGTGCCAGAAAGCCAGAAGTCCCCAAGCGCCATAAAGTTCAGGGCTCGCCCAAGAATCTGCTCCTCAAATTCGTGGACGGCAGATGCCGTGCAGCTGAAGCAGGGAGAGGTATCGCTGCTAGGAGGTAGGGTTCGAGAGTATAACAGTTGACAGCTGCCTTGGATTCTCAAAGCAGTCATGGCTGCTGCACAGATAGAGCTCAGGCTGGCAATACCCATGGCCCGGGCCAACCCACCAGGGATCGAAGCGGCAGTGGACGCCATCGGGCCGCCGGAGGGCCTGCAGTCCAAGAGCACCAGAGCGTGGAATCAAAATTCAACTAACAGGTATATAGGAGTTGGGGCCGGCGCTGGCTTTTCTTTGACATCATATGTACATGCTTAGCTATGTAAGCTTCTTTTGTTTGCATCCAGGCATGCATGCATGTATGTGTGTAATAGTATCAAACGCAAACTGTTGGGTCGTAGTAACGTACGTTTCTTCTCTGATTAATCTGTTAATTTGAAACTGGTGGTATAGAGATGTGCAGCGTCAGCCTTGTGGGAATTTCTTTTGCCGGAGAACCACATTCGGGGTGTATGCATGTCTTAGGACTCCGACAGAGTGATTTTGCTTGGCTTGGCTGCAGGTCACCGATAAACTGAAACTTCTTTTACTGCTTCTTGCGTGGTTCATGTGTGGACAGAACCAATAATCCGTCCCGGAGTGCTGATCCCACCCTAGAGACCTCGTTTGACGGTGTCCGTTATACGTAAGTTTTCTCCTCGGGGCGAGTAGCAAACATGCTTACCTGCACATGTGTATGAGCCATAATACTGTCGGTTATGCTCGCGTGAAAATTTCATTTCATCGGTTTTACATCTTTATTATCAGCATATGCATGTATGTATGTATGTACGTGTGTATGTATGTCAGTAATTATGTACGTACGTTTGTAGATATGTATGTATGTATGTATGTCAGACATGCAATGCATGCATGTATGGCGGAGGGATGGAGGGAGGGGATGGAAGGATGTACATGACGCGATTACGATGTGGCAGCCTTTTTTATTATCTATTTGCCGGCATGCGTGTATATTAATATATACATGTATAGATATGTATATATGTATATTTATATATATGCATGTATATAGCTCACGTCTTTCATGATGATACGCACCCTGCCTTAAGGCACTGTGGTGCTGGCTGCTCATGCTCGAAGCATTGGCCTCGAGTCACGAGCCCAACGACGGCCCATGGAGACCCTCCGACTCTTGCCTTCTCTTCGGGCTTGCAGTGGACTTAGACAGTTGGCTTTGTTTTGTTGGGCCTTCCTGCCTGGAATCTATGATTTTAAGGGTTTTACCTGCTCAGCTGTTGGGTTGCGGGGGGGTTTGGGACTTCGGGGATTCGACTCTAATGCTCGGTTAGGCCCAGGCAGGGTTGACGATTAGGGTCGCACAGCAGCAAAGGGTCGCAGGGGGCCGAGTGATCGACCCGTGTGCGATGCAACAAACCGAGTAAGCCGGATCTGTGTAGAGCCCGTAGCCGTACATGGCAGTAGCATGCAGGGTCAAGTGAGTCGTGTTGGCTACCCAAGGAGTCTGTGTTACAAGTTCCAGCTTGTGACAAACAGCTTCTGACCCAAAAAATCGTCCTGCTGATCAAAGTCTGCAGAGATCAGAGGTTTCATCTTTCACAGTGTGCCCGCGCAAGGTATGCTTTAGAAGATCTCTGGGCCCTGTCGTCTGTCAGCACAATGCCTGCGACACATTGAAGCCAGGACTCCTTCTCAAGTTTCGGGAGACGGTTGCGACCACAGTCAACCGAACAGGAGGCTCGCAGCACCTTCAGGGATGTTCCTGAGGCAGAGACACTTTGATGGCAAATAGACGGGCTCAGCAGCGCAAGTTTGTATCATGGAGTGGGCCAGTCGTGCAGAACCACAACGCTTGTTTCTCACCTCGGTTTCTTTCTTGCAAGTCTCCAATGTTTCGAATAGCTATTTCTTTTTGAGCTCTGGCCTTTACCCTCTTGCATTCCCGTAGTCGCACCCACTAGCGTGGCGCCCGCTCCCACACCAGGCAAAGTCTGTTGGTACCAGGGCCATCGGGTTGCTGCCGTCTTTGATTCGTACGAGGTCGGGGAGCAGCTGTGACGCAGAGCCTACAAAGTTACAATGTCAGTTTAACCTAGTCTGGCACTTCTCACTTTTTTGCCGAGTGGAGTAGTAAGACCGCAGTCCTGCCATGTCCGCCAGCATGAAAGCATAATTAGCCGGGTCGCGCACATGAGAACTGACGGACTGACTCAGCCCATGGTCCATGGCCCCGAGCAGGTGGCCACAGCCTGTGCAGAGGAAGCACAGAAGGAGATCTCTTAAGATTGGTTCTGTGACTCCGTGACTGTGTGCTGGTTAAAGTGCCGCACTTCAGCATGCAGCAAGTAGCGCAACCCGACAGAGATCTCCTAGCTCTCGTGATTGCAGGAGATGGCACTGCATAATGCGAGCTGGCTGCATCTACTGGCGACGTTGCCTACTACAGTAGGCTCATTTTTCGTCAACTCGACTGTCCTTTGAAGGTGGTGGCCTCCCTTCGACACCTTTGATGTGTTAATCCCAGCGGTACATATTCCCGGCGAGCCATGCATTTGCCACGATCATCTGTTCACAAGGGCACACTCCAGAATCTACGTCGCCGCCACGTGCTGCGAACACTTGCTTCCTTGCTTGCATCAACCGGACCAAGCCGGCTCTTCATTACACACTCAGTGCTTCATCCATGGGTGGCCACTTTGGCGGAGACAACGGCACGAAGATGATCATAGCTGGTCAAGTTGGTTAATCCCGTGCGCTGGAAGGTTTTTGTTTTCACTTCGCGGTGTATGCATGCTGGGCGAACCAGGAAATGAGGGAGGGAGGGAGGGAGGGCAAGAGAGACAAAGACCGAGAACATGCTGTTCCTGGAGGAAAGAACAATTTGTAGAAAGGGACGAGAAGAGAGCTTCGCAGACCCCAAGGCCACTCGGAAGGGCGACTTCCAGCTTGGCATTGTTGCTCGCCGCTCCATCGTGGAAGCAAGACGATTGAAGAGGAATGTGTGGTGTCTGTGAGTGAGCGTGGGCGGGTGATTAGACGCCTGTACCACCGGGACAAGGTTCAGTCCTGACTGCAAAGATGGGGACCGCAGGTACGCACATCACTACATTTGATAAGGTACTCAAGCCTGATCACAACACGCAGTTTTAGCAATGAAGGCACGTGTGTTTGTATTAAATGCTTTTTTCCATTGGTCACAGCTGTCGCCTGCTTGAACTGCGTCGGAGCTTTGGTAGCAAGCCGCGACAGACAGGTTTGTGCCATCGACTTCGGCCAGGTCTGGATGACTTCCCAGGACTCAAACCAGCTGTTTCGGGTCGTTGTGAGGGTTGGTCTAGGAAGTTAGCCCCTGAAGACTGAGCCCTGGTCAAAACCTGTTAGTCTGTCAGTGGTACAGATCCGACCGCGCTGTACCCCACAACTTCCTTCGAAGCATCGGGCTTGGCATCCTGCACGTAGCCATAGGACGTAGGCATGAGAACAGCTTTGACTGCTCACAGCCGAGATGTTTCCTTTTCTTATGATGCTTCCATCTTCCAGTCGCCGGCCTTTCCCCGGCCGGTGCTTGTTATGAGGATTTTCTCTACAGCGATTTCTGCTCCAGTCCCTGGTTAGTTGACCGTTGGTGTTTCTGCTTGATGCCACCGCCCTACATTTTTCGGAGGTAGGGGTCATGATGGTGATGTTGATGTAACCCGGCAAGCATCACCCAACTGACTGCTGCACGCGTCGAACAAGATTGCTTTGTGCTCCCAATGCCCTCCGCTGACAAACCGCAAGCACCACAGAAGACTCCAATATGGCGTGAGGTGGCAACCAGCCAGCTCCCTGTTCCTGGCTCTTTGCGTAGATCTTGCTTGTCATCCTTCTTTTACGATACCAGAATTTCGAGTCCATCACAACTCAGTGGTTCCATGCCGAAGCATCACGGAGCCTTTCTCTTGCATTGAACGCTTGACCATGACGAGACAAATCTGCCACAGGCCCAGCTTCCGATCTCTTCCGATGCTAGCTGCCACTGTAGCCCTAAAAGCCTCCACACAGCAGGACACCGCCGGCCCGGTGCTTTGGAGGGCTCTGCACTTGGCGCGGCTCGCGGGCAAAGTGGGAGCCTGGCCAGCCCTCATTTTCTTGTTGAGAGGGGGTTTGTTTGGCTTGCCTTGATGATTCTTATCCTGTAGCTTGAGCGGTTGGGGATTCTTTTGGTCTTGAGAGGTTGCAGGAGTTGCTGACCAGGTGTGCTACGGTGCCAAGACTCGGACTTGGGTTTGTCGAATTGTCGGACGGGGTTTCTGGCCTTCGAGCTTCCACGAGGGAAAGGATCGACCTACTTCAATCGCCTCTTTCTGGACTGGCAAACGTGGTTAAGATGCGAGATTGCCCTTGCCGATCCATCTCTTGATGGTTGCCCTCTGTAGAGCCGCCGGCACATGCGTGGCAACATGAGGTGATGAGAGCACAAAACCCAGACCCCTTGTTCCCAGGGGACATCCTCGTCACAGAGCAGCTGGCCAGAAGCCAGGACCGGTCATGTCGCCCAAACGCACCATGTGAATCCGTAGTAGGAGTAGGAGGAGGAGGAGGAGGAGTGGGACTAGGACTAGGACTAGGACTAGGACTTGGAGGAGGAGAAGGCTAGTACCAGTACTAGTACTAGCACGAGTACTACTACTAGTAGCCGTGCTAGGTGGGTGACAAAAAACTAGTGCTGCTACTACTACTACTACTACTACAACTACTACTACTCCTACTACTACTCCTACTCCTACTCCTACTCCTACTCCTACTCCTACTGCTACTGCTACTGCTACTGCTACTGCTACTGCTACTGCTACTACTACTACAGTACTACTACTACTACTACTACTACTACTACTACTACTACTACTACTACTACTACTACTACTACTACTACTACTACTACTACTACTACTACTACTACTACTACTACTACTACTCCGACTCCTACTCCTACTCCTACTCCTACAAGCGTCTCGGCTGACAGGGGCGTGCCGCCCCAACAGATAGTGGTGCGAGCCATTGCAAAGCGGTGCTGATCGTGTGCTAGGGAAAACCAGGAATTTCCGATCAAAGTGCCGCTTGGCTCTGCAACTGCATCTGCATATGCGGTGGAACATTACCTGCGCGGTTTTGAGGATAGCATGTGTGATTGGCTGGGAATTGATCTGGACACAGGCGATTACCGCCGAGCAAGGGATGATTGGATCCCCAACCATAACAAGGTTACGCCACCAGATGCGAACACTGTGTATGCCCGGGAACTCTTCTTGCGTCGTACAGCCAGGGCCCAGTTTCATCACCAACTTGGGCTCAGCATGCTTCGGGCCTCTTGGTCGTCCGGCGGACGCATTGCCAACATGGATTTCTTTGAGGAGTGGGAGCGATATTGGGATTCAGACACACACCCGATCCGGGCTCTGCAAGCCTCTAGGCGAACCCCCTTTGCCCCGGCTGAAGCTGATCTCTATACATGGTGCAGATTGCATTACCCCTGCTGGCTACAATTTCTGTGGCCGAGAGGCCCACCTTCTCCCGAGCTTCTTCGGACTCCGCCACGGAAGTCTCCATCTGTCTTTGATTTGGATGCCCTGGACTAGGGCCCAAGGTCAGCCTTGTGGCCGATGCTGTTTAGGAAGGACTAGCAGAAAATAGACCCGCAGGTGGCCCATACGGAGAACCAGGCGCGGCCGTAGGCGACGACCGTCCTGTCGGAAGCCGCCTCACATCTCCGTTAGGACCTGGGGCTGGATGCTGTTCCGATGTATGCTGTACAAGTGCCCTGTGCATGTCTGTCTGCAGCTGCATCACATGGCATGGCTACTGATACAGTTCACCTTCGTTCGCACTGGCTTTGTGACACAGCTCTGTTTGGATCGCAATCTCTTTTTAAGGCTCAAGATCAAGGTCTGAGGGGTGGCGGTGCTCATTGCCAGAGCTCTGAAAGCCCACCAGGTGTACGGGGCATGACGGAGGAGGCCCGCTCGAATTCCATTGACTCCCAGCGGGGAGGAGCCGGAGGAAAGATTTACTCCACGGGGAACGCCCCTGCCATCCCCTGCCAATGGGGCCTCCTCCCCCGGAGGCAGTGCAATCCTGGCGACCCATGAGCCAGGCGATCTCAAGCGCAGTGGCAAACGAACTGGCCTTCAGGGGGATCCACCTTCAACGCTCTTTGGCACTGATCTCAGGAGACCTCTCCACCATGGATTCGGTCCGCATCGATGTGCAGTATCTAGGCAACCGCCTAGCGCGGTCGCACCCGAACACATTGCACTTTGAGCAGTTTGCTGAAGAGGGTGAGGAAGAGGAAGCCGTGGCGGATGAAGCCACAGTGGAAGCTGAGGCCGCAACGGGGGCCTCGGCGGATCCCAACCAGTCGGAGGCGGCCATCACCCGGACGATTGTGGCAGCCATGGAAAGGGACGGCAGAGAGGCCATGACGGCGGAGGAGGAGGCTAGTTTGATGCATGACCCAGCCCTTCGTGATGTGATCAATAGCTTGGACACGGAAGAGCGGGCGGCGGTTACATGGGGACCAGGGGCTACGCCTACGACGACCATAGCAGTCTCTGGCTCTTCGGGCTCCGGTTCTGCACGGGCTTCCGCAGTGGCGCCGCACACCCCACCCAACTTCACAGATCGAGCTCACGGAGGGGCCACAGCAAAGCCGAAAGTCCGGCGAAAGTGGGAGCCTCATTTGATGGCGATCGTGACTCTGTGTCTAGGTTGGTTAATCAATCCTGGCAATCCCTGCTCTTTAGCCCAGCTTCTGCCTCCCCGCTCAGGCGACAGCACAGTGAAAGCACGATGTAGTTCTGTTTTGAGGGCAGGGCCTAGCAGGAATACTCCTGCGAAACGGGCTTTCAATGTCGCACTTGCACTGTACACCTGGCGACCGTGGATCAAAAAGTATGCTGATGCCAAGTCGATTGCCAGTGAGATAGTGATCGCTGACACTACATGCCTGACATGCAGCCGGGTGGCCAGGTACTCTATCTGCGCATCCTTGGATACCTGCGCGCGAACCTTACCAGGAATGGCTCGGGTGTCCTCCGTGTGGCTTACGATCAGAAACCATGTACTCTGGATACACAGGTCTCTCTCCGAGTTTCTCAAGCTCATTCTTGGAGGACCTGCTCAACGGTTGGCGGCGGGGCTCTCATTATTTATCGCAGTCTTTGCCAACATGCTACTGCAACCGCGATCAGCACGGGGGACAGGTTTATGCTCTTTCCCGGTTCCATCGAGAAACAGCCGCACCGGTCCCAATTCCGGTGGTGCTTACGGCAGGCCGATTGGAAGAGTTCAGTTCGGTCTCATCATGTTCATGAATCAGGTTGTGATGAATAGATCCGTAAGCACAGACGTGAAGGTTGGCGGTCCTTCTGATATGCCGCCTGGAGCCTCTTCGGAGGCAAAGCCAAGCAGATTACGAGAGGCCAGCATGCCTTTCCAAACCTGGACTCCTGACACCTCAAGAATTCAGAAAAGGTCATATCAGCGGGCCTACGCGCGATCATTCCGCGACGGCGGCGCGTTCTATCGAGGCAGCTGGAAGACACCTGATTGGTTCCAACGTGCTTCAGTCCGCCCCGTGTATCTCCCACAATTTCGCACAGCAGCCCCAACCTCTGGTACCAGGTCCATCCGAATGATGACATGGAACGCGCGTGGATTGAGCAGCGACGTGTACCAGGAATTGCTCACTGTCGTGCGCGATCAGGGGATGGACGTGTGCCTTGTTCAGGAGACGAAATGGGCTGCGGACAACTGCTGGAGCTCGGCTGACTTCCACTTCATCCACTCTGCTGGGAAAGGAAAGTTGGACAAGGTGGGCGGACTGCTCACCATTGTCTCTACAAGACTCGCTAGAAGGGATGATCTACAATACCAAGGTGTCCATCCAGGACGACTTCTACACGTCCGGGCTCAGACAGGCAAGGTGCCTATGGACATCCTGAATGTATACCAATACGCTGCCAACGATAAGCCTGACACACCTGACCATAGGCATCGGTTTCTTCTATGCCTGCAACGGTGTCTCTCAAGTCTACCTCGTCGCCATGCCCTCATACTCTCTGGAGATTTCAACAGCGCTTGTAGTCCTGTGCCGAAGGTCTGTGGGCCACACGTGCTACCGGTTGTGGAGACACACAAGTCGGACTACATGGACCTGCTCCATCTTTGTGAGGCGCAATCGCTGCTGGTTCTTAACTCCTGGAAGGCTCTGTCTGCCGAGCATACACTAGCTACCTTTACGTTTGGTAAGCTCCAGTCCCAGATTGACGACGTGATGGTCAGGCACAGCATGGCCACTACCGAGGCCCGGAAGGCTGGGGTAATTCGAAACTATCCGGTGGCCAGCTGGCGGGAGGGAGCAAATCATCATGCAGTGGAGGCTACGCTCCCCCTTCCTCGGCCTCTTTGGTTATCCAGGCCGAAACCACCTGCTGTACATCAAATTGATGTGCCCCAAATGATAGCCGACATCAGGGCTACCACGCCGACTTTGGCGCTCAGTGCTTTCCGAGCGGAGGTTGCTGATTGTGTCCGTCCGGATCTGCACATGATGGATAGTGTAGTCCTTCAGGCAGCGCTCAAGCACTACCCCCAAAAAGGAGCCGCCAAAGCAGCCACCAACTCAACCAGAAGAACTTGCCAGCAGTGCCAGACATTTGTGGGCTTTGCACCGCCAAATGAAGGCACAGAAATTTACGGCCAAGGGCATTATGGAGGCCTGGAAACTCTGGGCTCAGTTTGCGAAAGCTCACAAAATTTACAAGCAGCGTGCAAAAGCACGATCGAAGGTCAAACGGGATGAGCTCCTTCTTCAGGCTCAACAAGCTGCGGACAAAGGCAACTCCCATGACATGTGGAGCGTAATCAAACGCCTCGCGCCGAGAAGTAGACACAAAAAGGTCCAACGTGCCACTTGATGACCCCCACGGCGGAGCTGGATTGGATAGCGGAGGCTTTTGGGGACCGATTTGGGGCCCAATTCTCCAGTGAACCAGGGGCACTTCTACGACAACATGCGCCTGTCCAGCTTCAGGCCGACCACGTGCTGGAGGAGCTCCTGCACATTCCTGTTCGCAAGGCTGTCCCTCCTGGGGCTGTCCCTGCCATTGCGTGGAGGGCATGTGCTGCACAGATTGTCCAGCCTCTGGTCCAAAAGGTCAACGCAGACTGGCGGGACACCCACGTTGAAGTTCATCAAGATTGGGCCAAGGCTGATGTTGCACTTCTTCCCAAAGGGAAACCCAATGCAAGCTCCCCATTAGACCTGAGACCCATTGGCCTACAGCACCCGGTGGGCAAAACCATTATGAAGGTAGTCCTCTCGATGGCAAAGGAGGAGATGGTTGCAATGGTGCGGAAATGGCCTCAAACGGCCTATCTGCCAGGCCGGTCGACCATCACGACTTTGAAAACTGTCTTTGCTCACTGCGATGCAGTACGGACACAGTGTGCTCGCACTAGACAAAGCTTGCGTGACAAGTACGAGGGTGTCAATGCACCTCCTTTTTCAGGAGGGCTGCAAGTCAGCCTGGATGCGTTTGACTTAGTGGGCTGGCGGCACATAAAGCACGCGATGGAGATGGCTCACAGCAATGAATCTGTTCAGGAGCTTCTCCTGCAATGGCTTCGCCAAGTGGTCTATGTGTTCCCCCATGGCCGGGAATCCAGGTCGGTGCGACCCCACTGGGGGCTTCGACAAGGATGCATTGCATCCCCCATGCTGTGGAGCATTTTTACTGCTCTCCTGTGGCAGGCTTTTGACGCCCAACTTCGCGCCAGCTGGTCGAATGATCATGCTGTATTGTTCGCCGACGACTCACACTTGCGATGGCAGTTCAGCACCTTCACGGGACTTGAAACAGCCATCACGGAACTCAGGACTATTCTGAAGATCTTCGCTCGGTTTGGTATGAAGGTGAACGAGAAGAAAACCCAGGCGCTTCTGATGGTCACGGGCAGTGATAAGGGGAAGGTGCACAAACATTATGTTCGCACTGGGCACGAGGGCAAGCGACTTCTACTCTCACCGAAGGACCCCACACGATGGTTGCCGCTGGTCACTCAGGCCTCCTACTTGGGACTCATCATTGCATATGATCGGTTCGAGGCCCTCTCCACACGCCACCGTATCTCAAAGGCGAACCAGCGCAGATGGGCTCTTGCCCCGGCGCTACACTCTCGTCGACTTGGGGTGAAATACAAGTTGCAGGTGTGGCGCTCTTGCGTGCAGTCGACGCTCCTCTACGGGCTCCACGCTTTTGGCCTGACGAGATTCAGGTCACTGCGATGAAACATATCAGGGCTGTGGTAAATCGGACCCTAGACATATTACCGGCCATACGCATCAGGCAGTTCTTGAAAAATATAACCTGGAGGCCATGTACACCCTCATTGGACGTGCACATGACCGTGAACGGGCAGATGGCGGGGACCCTGATTGGATGGCACTACCGGCATGGGATGAGCATATCTCTCAGTGCTTGCAGGAAGTGGTCGCGGTCACCCCTGGCCAGGATCCAGACTCTGAGCCTGAAAACTGGGCGTGCCCGGAGTGCGATTCCTTCTTCAGCTCGGCGGCTGCCCTGAAGATTCATGCACACAGAGCACACGGCATTCACAACAAGCCCCTTCGTATCTTCGATAGAGCTCGACACGCTGTGAAAGGCTTACCCACATGTAGGTTCTGTGAGAAGAGATTTGCTAGATGGCAAACGCTGGAGCATCATGTAAATGCTTTGGCCTGTCCAGACATGCTTGTGGAACAAAAGTTGGATGAGAACGGTCAATCACAGATGAACGTGCGAGTGCCGAGCATCGTCCCTGATGTAGAGGACCCTGAAAACGTCAGCGATGCTGAAGCTGCTGCTGTACCCACTGCTGTGATCACTGACTCACGACCTCTTGTACAACAGCTCTTGGTTTAACAGACTGCACAGCAGGGTCTCCGATTCTGTATACAACAACCCAACATTACACGTCAACTCCATCAGCATTGTGGAATGTGTGGACAATGGGTGGCATCGCAGAAGGTGATCAACTGAGATTTTTCCGGCTGGGCAGAAGGACATCTCACGCATCATTGAACTGAGTGCTACTCCCAGCATTCGCTGTCAAAACTGTGGATCGTCGCCCAAGGACTGGAAAGCTCACATGTACAAGTGTACCACCATTTGGCAGTGTGCAGTGCCATGTTTGCCCCAGGAAATCGAGTGCGGATCCAACCATGTTCGGGAGTCGCGACCAGGAGATGGACGAATTCTTTGGAGCAGTTCGTATGGGGACAGAAGGGGCCTCGGGGAATCCGGGTGAAGGCGACCAGAGCATGAATCCGAAACGGAGGAGGGAGGCAGCGGAACATGCAGGATGGGGCAACGGGTCCAGATGGGGGCACCACCAGTCGAACTCTCATCAATATCCTCAGCATCGCTATCAGCAGCATCACGGAAGGGACCCCTTGATCTATTCTTTAGCAAGGGTCGTGCTCCAGCAAGAGCAGGAGATCAATCTGCTGAAGCAGGACAGGGCCACCTTTACCGCACAGCTCTGGAGTTCAAAAAGAAACAAGCTGCCGAACCAACATGGGGCATGGCCCACATGCCGCTGAAGCAAGTGATGGCTCTCTCGATGTTTCGCGAGCTCAAGGAGCCTCACCACAAGGTTCTCAACACCAAAGAGCTGCTGCTGCGTGCTCTGGAGATGGGCTGGAGGGATACTCAGGGGTGGCATTTCCAGCAGTGGAACCCGAAACTCAAGCGTCTAGAGCTGGACAAATCCCGGCCACAGCTTTCGGATGTAGATATGGCGAACAAGCTCGAGCTTCTGACGGAGCACGTCAAGAGGGATGTGGTACATCGTTTCCATTGCACCAGGCGATTGACGGAAACCATGGACAGCAAGGCCACCTTCAAGCTGGACCTTTCGGTCCGGAACAAGCATGCGGAGGAGATTTGGGACATCCTGATCGAGCTCCAGGGATGCTGTGTGTTCCAGTTGATCGGGCTGGGTTACAGGCGGGAACGATTGGGCAAAGGACCTCTATGCCAGAAAATCCAGGATCAGCTCCGGTACTGAGGCGCGTCTTTGTGAATCAGGCGAATGCTTGCTATATGAATGCCGCGGTGCAGGTGATGGAGTGGCTCCTGTATGCCACTGGTAATGGGCGGATGCATTGGGGACAGGCGCTTCTTTCTTTGATTCCGCGGCTATGCGAGGGCAGTGTATCACCCTTATGCAGGTCCAGGAGTGGCAACTTCTAGTCACTGGCTGGGCGGAGGCTCATCGTCAGCATGATATCGCTGAGTTTCTGGGCTTTGTGCTTAGTGGCATGGCTCCTCCTCTTTCCCAGGGTATTTGGCAAGCACGCAGCGTTGCCGAAGGGGGACGTGTTCAATGTATTGATCAGGGGCCCTGTACTCAGCTGCTCACCCTGCCACTGCCTCGTGAACCACCTGGTCTTCGCGCGACGGTCAAGGTACAGTTGATGATGGATATTTGGCAAAACGGCCGGGATCGTACTCAAAGCCTGCATCTGCCACCTAGAATCCTAGCCGTTCAACTGCTACGATTCAGTCAACGTGAGGGGCACGTAAAGAAGACCCGAATGGAGGTGGAGCTGGGGGATCCTTTGCTCTCCGTGCCGACTTTCACCAGGGAAGGGCTTGAGCGGACACCTGTGCGTTATCGAATGAGTGCCTACATTGTTCATCATGGGCTCACGCCCAAAGTATTTGGCTTTGTGATGACAATCGCACTCCTCAACTGCACAAATGTTCCCCGCCGTCTCATCAAAGAGATGTTTATATACTGATGTACCATCGTGTGGACCCATACTCATTGGGTCATGTCGAATAAACGGCGGTCTTTTCTTGAAATGCTACGCTCCTAGGCCTTACGAGGCGGTAGCATGTGTCAGGGAGTCAACTGAAACAGGTTGAGCGCAATATTGCGCCGGGGACGAGTCCCGCTCACACTCGTCGCACGGCGGACCCTCTCCGCTGCGAGGAAATCTGAAATCTGAAGATCTCCTACTCCTACTGCTACTGCTATTGCCACTGCTACAGTACTGCTACTGCTACTACTTCTACTACTGCTACTACTACTACTACTACTACCACTGCTACTACAACTACTACTACTACTACCACTGCTACTACAACTACTACTACTACTACTACTACTACTACTACTACTACTACTATACTATTCGTGCTTGTGGTAGTAGTTGTAGTAGTAGTAGTTGTTGTTGTTGCTGTTGCCGTTCTTGCTGTTGTTGTTGTTGTGGTTGTGACAGCAGGGGCCCGGCGGTGGATGTGGCGGCGGCGGTGGTGGTGGTGGTTTGAACGCTAGGTGACGGTGGTAGCAGGACCAACAGCCGCAGCAGTGATCGTAAGAATTTGTTCGTCAAACCCATTGAACTGCTTCAGCCTCCGGGGACGCCCTGCGGGCAATCGGCCAGATTGAGCGGAATAATGAGTTTATTAATCCGACCCCGTATATTTGAAAGTGAACTAGAACATTACTCAGCTTCCTCCACAGGACGAAGAGCTAGTGAAAGCCAAGGCCATCGATGTGCCAGGCATCGAGGACAGCTCTCCTTCTGTTTTGGGCTCGACACGGAAAGCCTGCCATGTGCAAAATATCCAGTTGGTTCGCATGTTAGGCCGGCACTGCAGCAGGGCTTACATAGCGGGTTTGTATCTTCCGGCATCTGCTGTCGTAGCAGGCACAATCCAGATTCCTGCTAGAATAGGCTGGGAATCTTCAGAATAGGATTGAGTCACTATCGATGTTAAGCTGGACAGGAGCACATGATTTATGCTACCAGCTTCAAAGCCAAGGCGCCCCACAGCGAGGCTGGCCCGAACATGCTTCAACAACCTGCTAACATCATGAATCATGAGGCATCTATGCTTCAGGAACAAGCCTCAACATGGGTATTCTGTCAGGGTGCATGTTGTTCGAAGCTCGAAGTTTTGGGAGCTGCGGATCCGAGAACCTCTGCACTGCAAGCTGCCTAGTCCTCAAAGGACATCATCGCTGGATATTACCAGCAGCCTGAAACCTGTGGTTTCATAGCTCTGACAGGCTGACGGGACAGCATTGTCATCTAATCCTTGCCGTGCTTCCTGATTCCCTTGCCTGGCGTAAAGATCACCGGTTTCTCTCTTCTTCTGGATTGGGGCTGGGTGTTTGGGCGAGTTGCAACTCGACTGGCGAAGCATCGCACCTCCGTGCTGCCTTCGAGGCTTCGCCCGGGTCCTGAAGGAGCGACAGCTTGCGGAAGTTTAGCTCCGGACAAGGGTGAATCACATCTTCAAAGCGTCCGGTCGCTGCGCGTCTGCTGCACTCGGTGCCTCGAAGAAACTAATGATCCCGTCACCGCTGCCTCCTGAAGGGAGATAAGGGGGGACGATCGCATGGCCAAAGAGCCTGCAGTGAAAATGCTACCGTGGTTCTATCGCACGACGTGAGGCTTGGAAAACTGTAGCAATCAGGGGTGAGGCATTTTCGGGTTGAAGTGGTGGTCTCCCTGCCCTGCCAGTTTCAGGTTCGACCATTCGAACGACAAACATGTTGTTGCCCGGTGTCAGCCTCCAAGCGTCGGTACAGCGGTCAGCTTAGTCAGCATTGCGCTTGATAGATCTACAGTTGAGCTGCAGATAAAGGCAGGGGCGCTCAATGCAACAAACCCGTGAACGTGAGACTGAGGTGCCGCCGCAGTTTCTCTCTCGAATTCGGTTGTTTTTTCGTTCGTTGCCTCATGCCGCATCCGGAACTACCCTCAGCAGCCGTCGCGAAGCCGCAGCGCGCGAGAGCGAGTTTGGGACCATCATCAGGCCTTGAGCATCCTCCGGACTGTCGAGTTGCGTTGCGCATCCTTGTGCACGTGGTGGTGTGCGGGGCGGCCTTACCAGCAGAAGTGACTGTAGGGCCCTAAGTACCAAGCAGATGGGTGGCAGACTCCGGCAACAGTTGCATGTTGCTCAATAGACTCAATCTGTTCAGGCCTGCATCTTGGCACTTCCAAGGCCTTGAGAAGATGCAACTGGGCTTCAAAAAGCTGTCCTGAGCTGTGCACGGTGCTTACATCTTGCCACCCCGGACAACTGCAGCAAAATGAATTGGACAGTCTGCCAGCATGTCCGCACGTCTCGGTGGGTGCACCAGCAGCTCCCGAATACATAAGGCTAAGCCGAGGAGTCGGCAAGAAACAGACTTGACTTTGCAAGGAGGAAGGAGCCGCCCACTCATGCCTGAGGTGATGACCATCTGGCTGCCTTGGCCACTGAGTTGCGCAGACTCCACGACATGCTCGAGGCACCCCGCACAGAGAACGAGGACGACATGCAAGGTATGCAGGGCCTTAACTTCTGGTACCTTCGAGCGCCGGTTCGAATCACATCGCAGTATCTCGAGAGCATTGTACTCAAGTAGGTTTGCCTTTGAAAAAAGCTGCTCCCTCAACAGCAATCGGGCACGACGGAAGCACGCAAGTTCAACCCTGGTGCAGATGGCACGCTGGGTGGCTGCAGTCAGTTGTGGGCAGATCAGAAAGTTGCGTGCAGTTGGCGCAAGCGCTGCCTTCAGCGACCGATCTCAGATCGAAGCCCGGTTGTGTGGTGCTCACCTTGCTTGTGCTAACACGTGCCTTTATGCAGGAGCTTGCGTCCTCCGGCAAGATGGAGCCCCTGTGCATCTGGGCTGCATTGATAAGGGAGCTGTTAGATTGGGTGGATGGCTTGGACATTTCAGACGTGTGCAGCTGTAGGACGTAGATTTGGGGCACTCCAGTTTTCAAGATCTGCCCTGAGGCTCGTACCGCAGATTCGATGTTGTATGGTGCATGAATAGTTCGCTGCAACCGAAGTGGTGTGCGATCACGAACTTCCTCCCGAATTCAGAGAGTGCCTTGTGACACTTCTGTGACGCACCGAGGCTCTGAAAGTAGCAAGTCTGAGAGCGGCAGCGAGGCGCAGGGAGATGGATTCAAGGAGGTGCAGCCTTACCCAGTTCTGCACAAAAAGGCCGGGGCGTGCAAAGCTTCGAGAGGGCAGCCGGAAAGATCACAGCACGTGATACCAGATGCCAGATCCAGTCGCACTTGTGCTCTGCATCCTTGCTTTACCGTTGAATGTGCAGCAATTGCTCAATCGGTGTGTGGTTGTTCAATTTTCATCCTACGTGAGGCGCTGAAGACGTCCCAGCAGGCAGTGGGCATCTGGGTCGTCACTGCAAAGCTACAACATATAAAGTTGCGCGGCTTGCACATTGAGTCAGCTGGGAACGACATGCATAAACCCGATTACAACTCGTTCGGTAGGCCCAAACAGAAGTTTTGTTCCACACAGCACATGCATCTTTCCTCTGTTGCCTATGGCGTTTTTGCAGAAGCCCTTTCGTTCAGCCCCCGCGAGATTCGTAGGCTTTCGTAGGTGCGGCGTGCTCCGCTGCTGCTCCGGCCGCTGCAGCCCTCAGCCTCCGTGCTGGATCCAAAGCGGATCAGCGGCCAATCGGGCCAGGACGGATTCTTGAAGAATACATTTGTATAGTTGGCTGATGATAGCCCTGTTGAGAATCTGAGTTTCTGACGTGCTCGCTGCAATTCACAACCCGTGCTGGCTTCTCATTCTCGGATGCCAGTGCCACTGCATAAGTCTTGCGTGGGCAAGGGTGCCTCGTGCGCTGCAACGACAGGGGAGTGGTTCCAGCGGCTTTATCGCCAAGCTCCTCGAGTTTGGCCCGCCAATTGTAATTTTGCTGAATCCTTGGCTGCAACTGGATGGTAGTACACCTGAACGAGTCTCTCTCTCACGGTTGGGCAGCCGTTTGTCGTGGGGCTGCATCATCAGTTTCCAAGCTTGGACCAGCAGCACCGAGTCCCCAGAGTGGAGCAGGTGCAGGCACGAGGGCCCGTTCCATGTGGACGTCCATGTGCCTAGGAATGCCATTACAATCGCCCTGGACAGTGATGTCATAGAGAATGATTCAATCCTTCGTTTGGTCGAAAGCTGCTTCGCAATGTTCTATCTTCTGGACCGCTGGGTTTTGCAATAGATGCCTGGAAACTCCGCGGTATGCAGCGCAAGAAGGGAAGCTCGTCGATGTGTGTGTGTGTGTGTGTGTGGGTGCGCGCGCCTTACAGTCTTGCATTTGTTTTCTTCAGCCTTCGCAGTCTTCCAGGAGTTCATGATCAAGCTCGGACTCCTTGGCTGCAGGGGCTACTTCTGGGCAGAAAACTGGACTTGGAACTGGTTTGATTTCCTTTGCCTCCTGCGTCTCGGCAATGCAAGAGCCTGACGATGTAGCTTCGTCCTGCATTACCACCAGATTCTGCCATCATGTAGCTGCAGGTGTGCGCTCTTGGAACTCAGTGCCGTGCTTGTTTCCGTGCTCGGCTTCACCTCCACACCTTTTCTTGAAGATGTGACAGTGGTGCGGGTGTTTCGCTTGGGGCAGTTGCTCGGCTGGTACACTCAGTCTGCACTTTCGCAGCTGCTAGGTCGCTGGGTGCTAGCCGGATCCACCAAAGCGTACATCCGCCGCCCGCGGCCCGAATCCGAAGCGCAAAAACCTTCGCCACTCAACAACCTGCAAGCAAAAGCGAAAGGCTGCAGCAAGAGATGTTTTTGGAACATATTGCCGAGTCATTGGGTCCACACGCATGAGACACAAACCTGGACCTACGACATCTGACGCTCAGCTCACGCATGAGCCGCCCTTGATGGCAGGCAACGACCCACATCGAAGCATTCTACTGGAAGTCCGATGTTTTTAAGTGTATGGGCGTCCTCAGCTTGCAACCCGGAACTCTAGATCCAGGATTTGCCGATGCCCCTGTGTGTAAGTACATTTTTCCAACTGCCAAGCATTGCAAAGCTGTCTGTAACATTATTAACTTGTTTTTGCAAGCTTGACTCCTGCAACAAGGTTGATGAGGACCGTCCGCGTGCTGAACTTCAAGATGTTTGGCGAACTCCGTCAAATTACTTTAGGAATCATGAATGGGTGTGGCGTGCTCTTCTGGGCAGTCGTCCTCCTGTGGCTTGTCTTGAAGCTGGGACAGGGATATAATATATGAACGGTCGCCTTGATTTTGATGCCCATGCACGAAGCAAGAACCCACAAAAAAAGGTCAAGCTTGCGAGCGCCCACGCCTGACAAAAGCATCGTTTGCACTGGTCTCTCGCGACTGTCCTGACATTGCACCAGGTTCGGAGTCATCTATGTATTTGGGGTCGTGATGCGAAATCTCGTTGGTGACGCGATGGAAGAGTTCAAGAACATCCCAAACTCCATGTCCTGGCCTAATACGTGCTGTGCACCCCATCCTGCCATTTCCAGACTGGGCCGGCGACCCGAGGTTCACCTTGTTCCGTTGCTTCACGGATGGCTGTTCAGACTACGCCGGAACACCCTTGGCAGAGCGTTTGCGGATCGTGTACGGAGCTCCTTTCACCCTCGGCTACGCTGCTTGACTGAAGGCTGAAAAAAGCACATGTTCTCCTTGGAGGCCACACACCTTTGTATGAACCGTTATCCCAAACTCCCACCCTGATAAGGTCTGCGTGACCATGCTGGTCGCCGTGGGCATCTTCAACATGATCATGGCAATTTTCCTTGAGATCTTTGCTTAAAGCTCTGGGTCTGCCGGAGGGCTGGGTCTGCCAGAAGCTGTTGAAGTTACCCGTAACTGACTTGGGGTTAGCATGCTGCCATTGTGAGGCACGGTGTGAGCCAGTAGCAAGGTACTTGAACAGCCAGCTGCAGGTTCACTCAAAGCAGTGGAGCTTAAATGGGATCATCCGAGCTGTGAGAGTTGAAAGCCGAAGTAGCTCACAACTTGAGCATAAGTTTGTGACACGAGCCCTCCACTTTTGAAATGTTCGGACACCAAGGAATGCCACTGCATCAGCTGGTCGGCGGAAGCAGCGACTCTCGAACTGGAACATACAGCCTTCCCGCCGATTCGGACTATGAATTTCTCTTGATGGGGGAAGGGGCGGGCGGGAAATGCCCCTGAGCGCCCGGAAACCTATCAAAAGCTACACCCCACCTGCGCCTTGTCCAAGTCCCGAAGCCGAGCATCCTATGCCTGCACACTGACATTTCGTGTTCGGCAAGCATAATTCCGGATCCCCGACAATTGCGGCGAAAGCATTGCGGCTCAACAAAGTATGTCCCCGACCATGACACCTTGAGCTTGGACCCCTCCGATCACATCTGTTCGAGGAGAGCTCGGCGAGCGCGCGAACAGCACAGAGCACGCACTACGGCGCGTGATCGCCGCTTTGACGGCGTCCGTGTGTGAGTGTGTGTGTGTGTGTGTGTGTCTTTTTGTGTCTGGGTGGGTGTCTGTATGTTTGTGTGTATATGTGTCTGTGTGAGTCGGTGCGTCTCTGTGTGTCTCTGTCTGTCTCTGTGTGTGGTTCTCTGTCTCTCTCGCTCTGTCTCTCTCTCTCTCTCTCTCTCTCTCTCTCTCCCTCTCTCTGTGCAGGTAGTGTAAAATAACGCATATGCCCGCACGAGATGTGGAGAAAGCGAGAGCGAGAGGGAGAGCGATAGAAGAGAGTGGGAGTGAGAGTGAAGCCTCTAAGCTGGAAAAGAGAAGGAAGAGCAGCCAAACCATCGCCGAAAGGGGGGCAGCCATAGCAGCCTCTCTCTGAGGCGAGCAGACAGAACGAAAGAGCAAGCGAGCGGCCGACAGAAACATACAACATTGCACTACATGGTTGGACACAAAGAATGCTTTCGCCCCGTCTTCTCGCACGGCCTGCACTTGGCAACCATATCCTCTAAACCTAAACAATTCCCAAGTCAACAGAAACTCGGGGGGTCGGGTCCGCTCCTGGTGGCACTGTGCATGTCTGCAACACGCCCTTCTCTCACTTGCTCACCGAGGTTGGCACTCGAAGCAACGAAGGTTCGAATCAACAGACCTCCTTTGGTGCGTTTGTGTGTGTGTGTGTGTGTTGGTTGTGTGTGCGTGTCTGCTTGTCTGTGTCTGTCTGTGTTTGCTTGTTCGTGAGAACGCATGCAAAGAGCTTCAGCTGCCGGGGATTCCCCAGGTTCAGATGATTGACCCGACCGCTCAGGAACGCGCCAGAGGCACCCTAAAGCCGTAAAGTTTTCGCTTGAAAAAAGGGGAGTCTGCGAGATCGCAGACTGAGAGTTTGCCGCTCTGGAGTTCGGCATTTACTCGTAGCGTAGACGCCCAAGGCAGGGGTTGACCAAGCACTCATTGACTCCGCAGGTGTTGAGGTAAAGTCGGAAGATGTTCAGCGTTTGTTGTGAACAGCAGGATCGCACGTTTTATGTACTTGGAGAGCTGAAAAAATGGCACACTGCAATCGAACTGCCGGGTGCAGACCATGCCATGTCAAGATGCTCCTGCTGCTTGAATTGTTGGCGACGGTTCCAGTCTGGCGGCTCAATACGGGCCCAACTTAGAAGGAGCCTTCACCTCTAAAAAACCGAACCTAACCCCGAACCTTGTAATCCGATTTGCTAAGCCCCGAAATTGCTCCCCCGGTAACGCGGCTCTGAAGCTCAGCATTCCTGCCTGTTGGCAGGGCGTCGAGGAACCATGGCTGCCAGGCAGCTCCATTTCCGTCACGCATGGAGCTGGGGTTAAGCAGCTTTGCAAGATTCGGCCTCAGAGCTCGCATTGCCGAATTGCAAGCATGCGGATGAGAGTCCCTTCGGTAATCGGAGCACCGCGTGTTTATGTTTGCGTCTGATGATGGTGAGGCTGATGATGCCGACCGTATTGATTGCACGAGACACTACCGCCACCACGAACAGTTCGCCTTTGAAAGCCTTGGCTCGCCCAGTCCGGGCGAAAGACTGTACTGCACACTTCTAGATTCTCGAGCTTCTGCTAGGCTGCTGGCTCGACATACCTTCTCTGAGATTTTGCAATGTCTGTAACACTTGTTTGCGCCGCGCATGTACATGACAAGTACGTACAGGCCGCTCAGTTTGTCAATGTGTGGTCGTGCTTGGCTTGCTTAACGGTTGCGACTTATATACACGTGAGAGCGTCGAAATGCCTTGCTGCTTTTACTTGCTTGCTTTCTGTACCATCTGTATCTCGACCACGTTCCTGCAGTTTTCGCTGGGTTCATCGATATCTGCTTCTCGCCCGTAGTGTTGTTTCTTCCAAAATCGGATTCCTGGTATCCTCTTGTGTGTGTGCCACTTGCTCTGCTTCGGCTGCTTGGCCTGTCTGCTTGCATTCTTAGCGTTTGTTGGAGATTTCTGCTGCTTGTGGGCGAAGATCTTAAAATTCATGGAGAAGCCATGTGGCAGTCCTGGTCTCAGCCAGAGCACTTTATGTCTCTAGCTGCCATGCTTCAGCTTGAAGCCGAGCACACAGACAGCCTTCGCGCTTTCGCCTGACAGGATCAGCGGTCTTTTTGACCTGCGACCCACAGAGGGCGATGCCACAAGGTCCGCTGTGCATGAAGTGCGCGAGTGCCAGCGTTTGAGCGGTTTGGATTCGGTGTAATTAAGGGCTTGGAGACTCTTGGAGACGCTGGGGTTCCCGGCACAACAGTCCCGGATTGTGTTGGTCAAGGGGGGTGGAAGCAGGCCCGGATCTGATTTTCATCACCTCCGCATCGTCAGAAACATCTTGCGCAACTACAAGTACGAGAAAAAGGGTCGAAAAACTCACTTCCTCCAGCTGTGCATCTCTCTGTCTCAGCTGAAGCGGCATGCTCCAAAACCGTTCCGAGGGGCCGCCTCACCAGACAGCGGTCCAAGTCCACTGAGCTCTTCTGGCACACGCAGCACCTGATCTTGATTCGATGCACTCGGCACCCGTAGTGTAAGCCCCTCCACTCCTGCACACTCTCGCATATCCTGGTGCTCCCGAGTGAACCTAACTCGTTCGTTTGCAGACAAAAGTTTCCAACATAAGCACGTGACGGCACGTGTTTGTAGCGCGGGGGTGTGTCTCACTCTGGTCCGCAGCTTTTCTCCTCGCACAAGGTATGAGCTTCTGAAGCACTCCGGTGCTACTGTGGACCGAAAGACCTTCATGCATCTCGGCTCCGGTGCGAGTTGCATTTACCCACCCTGGTCATCCCCTGCTGTACTCGCTCCGCAGTAGCAATTAGTGTAGCTGCGATCGCTGCCTTTCCGGAAGGCTGAAAATGACTTAAATCTCAAAGTGATGTAGCCCGTGCTAGGTTGTGGCTGCAAGAGCCCGCTTTCCTGCACGTCTTGGAGAGCGCAGACGTGGACGTGTCCAACAAGTTCGATTTGTTCGACGTTCTCGATTCCGATTCTTGGCGTTTGGATCTGGCCTCTGCATATGGCTTATTGCACTGATCACATCTAGTTGGCCCAGTGACATTCGAGCATGCTTGCTCTGTTGAGAGACACCCAGCCGTCCATGGATCAACAACACTAGCAGTAGCTGCATCAACAGCAACACCTACAAATGGCATCAGCACCACCAAGGAAGAAAGATGCAGGCAACGCGACGAGAAATGTTTGCCAGAATAGCGTCCACCTCTAAACAACTGCTAACAAAATCCCAGTTAGCATTGTGGCAGCAGTCGTCGTCGTCGTCGTGGTCGCGGTCGTTATCGCCGCAGAGGAGTATTAGAACGAGCAGCGGCAGTCGTAGTAGTAGTCGTAGTAGTAGTAGTAGTAGTAGTAGTAGTAGTAGTAGTAGTAGTAGTAGCAGCAGTGGTAGTGGTAGTGGTAGTGGCAGCTGTAGTCGTGGCCGTGGTAGTGGCTGTACAAGCAGTAGTCGTCGTCATAGTCGGAGTAGTCCTAGTAATTCCTAGTAACCTAGTAGTAGTAGTAGTAGTAGTAGTAGTAGTAGTAGTAGTAGCAGCAGTAGTACTAGGAGGAGGAGGAGGAGGAGCAACAGTAAGAACTGCTAAACCAAAGGTGGTAACAGACCGGGGAAACGCTGCAAATTCATTGCAAAACGCAGGTGCTGCTAAGAAGGTTTTAACACACCTAAACCTTGAAGGCGAAAATCCATAAAGATTGAAGACCAACAAGCTAGCTGTCCGTGAAAGGTGCTCCTCTAAAGCCCAGCCCTCGGCGTAGGAGGTTTTGCTTGTGAAGCTCTTTTTGTGGTGTGCGCGCCCTTCCGTGTCGCTATCACGCCCTCACCCACACTCCGGCGACATGCCAAGCTCGAGCCCGATCCTAGTTGAAGTCGGAAAGCTCATGCACCTGGTACTGGTGCTCCTGCGAACATCACGTGCAAGCACTTCGAGTTGCAATAGAGTGCCAACACGGCTGGTAAACTAGTTCCGGAATGGAAAAGTATTCGCCACAATGCGGCTGGAAAAGATAAGGGTCAGAGGTTTCGAGTGAGAGCCAAAGCTTAGTCGTCATGCAGTCATGTCATGGCCATGGCCGTAGTGTCAAACGTTTTCCCCACAGCCTGCTGCCCCAGGACATGGGCGGCAGATTGGAGCTAGACGAGGTGGTAACTGGACTGATGAAGCTGCGCGGCCCAGTTTCCAAGACAGCACCTCGGAAGAATTTATATCGCCGTGCTTCTGCATTCCACTGTGTGACTTCCCATGTCACTTCTATCGGAATGTGCCCGGCGACAGCTGAAGCTCCGCGAGAGGTTTCGGTAAGGCAGCTGTCTGAAACGACTTTTAGACTGCTTGTGCTGCTAGGGCATCTTCGACACTGTCTAGTCTTGTCTGGGTGCGATGGATATGCTCCAAACCATGACTCGGTGCTTTGTCGCAGGAGTCGTTTGCGACATTGCTTGTTTGTCCGCGAATGTTTGTTTTCTTTTCAATTCCAAGGACTTGATAGCCATCAGGCTGCAGGTGCGCCTTTTGATCCAGAAGGCACTAGAGGATGAGTGAGGGCGCGCGCCCACAGAGACCTCCCAAAAAAAGGCACAGTACGTTTGCTCCAAGAGCGTTTCATACTTATGATGCCACAAGGCATCTCCCAACTTCTCGTCACATCCAGAATATTGCCCGGATGCATGGGTTTCGGCCAAGTGACCTTGTAGGTCTGCGAAAAAGCCTCAAACAGTGGCTGCAGGATGCTTTCGAACATGACGTATTCGACACCTGACCTCAGCAGCAGCACTGCTTCGGGTTTCGGAAAGCCTCGGATCGTCTGCGTCTTTCAACTGCAACCTGCTCAACAAACCTGGAGGCATAATTCGAGCTGTGATTTTTTCGAGCTGCAGTTTATGCTGAGCAGGGTCAGGAAGGATCCAACTGCGCAGCCCCCAAACTCTTCAAGAGGCTGTGTTGGAAGCGTGGAAAGTAAAGCAAAGAGCAGCACAGCAAGACTCTAAATGAGGCTCATGTCCAAGACTTTGGATGCAAGCTTCTCTCAGACTCTGCCGTTTTGTCGTAATCGGCTTGGCAACTTGTCCTGGTGGAGATGCGAGAACTGAAAAAGCTGATGCAAACCTCATCTCTAGCAGGAAGCTGCAGAATTGACTGTGTTTGCCAGTCCTCGAGAAGCAGGTCGTGCACGCTGCGTGTGGTCCAGGAAAGCATTCAAGCATTGGCATTCAGCCCGCCAGTTTGTGAACGCAGGATTACTTTCATGTCCAGTGTGCGACGTGCTTCGCTTACAGGATATCTGCCGTGAATAAGAGCAGCAACCTCCTTGCTTCCGAACGGGAGAACGAGAGTAGATCCTTGCTGTAAGCAGGACACATGACCGGGTTGCCACGAGCTTACGCCGAAGAAAACAAATGTGCACGATGCTGGCGATACGTGATCCATCTCCGTGAGCCTCGAAGCTGCAGCTCCGCCTTCGCATCTGTCTGCTCAAGACTCGAGAAGAGGTGTGATGTTTCGACACCCGGGCATGGAAGTAGAGGGTAGATCTCATTCTTTACCGGCTTTGCCTAGGACAAGAACAATACACGTACTGGTTTTGTGCTGCCGAAGCGTTGCTCACAACCTCGGACCGCCAGAGCTTCCAAAAGCAAGCTCACGCGGTGGATGTGGGGAAGATTCCCCTTGGTTGCAGCTTTATTAGCTACAGCGCTGAGTGCGACTTGGCATACAGCATTTACTGCAGAATGTAAAAAGCTTTCCAGACAACGAGGCTAAGTACTGTAGTCTCTATTGCGATAAAGATGACCCCGCGTGTGCACCGCCAGCACAGCACGACGGAAACAAGCATGCATCCATCCATCCCTCCGTCCGTCCGTCCGTCCATCATTCCATTCCATTCCATCCCATCCATCCGTCCATCCGTGCATCCATGCATCCATCCAGCAAGGAATGCATGCACGCACTGCGACAGACAGAGACAGACAGACTGACAGACATGCGCGCAAACATACCTACCTACGAACACGCGCCCATGCGCATGTATACACACTCCTTTCGACATCTGTACAACTAGCAGGAATCGCATCTTAATCTTCTTGCGATCCAGTGAAGTTTCTGCTGCTGCGCTAGCTGGCTATACAGGATGTATGTGGTGCGGCATTCCTTCTTGTCTTGAGGTGGGCGAGGGCCTCCCTAATCGTGCCAGCTAGCTGCAGGCCAAGCCGCGATGTCGAGACTCCGCTGGTACAGGAGTTTGGCATGACTGTATAGTGCGGTGCCTTCGGCAGCATTGGACTGGTCTCGGTCTGGGCTTAGCCAGCTGCGCAGCCCACACTCAACCAAGTTCAAGCGTCAAGCAGGAGCCTGTAGGAATGCACCAACCACTCGCAACCTTCCGCCAAGTGCGAACGAAGAGGATACATGTCATATGTTGGCACGCCACTGAAGTGACAGAATCGACGACAATTGCAATGCAAGAGCATGCTGACCTCAAGAATTCATCCCGGGCCCCGAGCCATCCCGAGACCCAAAGCTTGACATCCAGAGCCTGAGCTCCGAGCAGGTGAACGGAAATCCGACTGCACCTGCAAAGCTTTAGAAAAGTCCCCCAGGATCGGTGGCTTAGCTATCCAGGGAGCCGCAGCGTTCGAGGCGTCCCTCAGCCCGACTTTCCAGGAGCACCAAAAGGCTGAACTGTTCCTTCTATCTTCAGCTTAGCAGAATACGATTGCAGGACTTCTTAACACGGCGCCTCAATGAATCTCATGGACTGGAGTTCGAGGCCGTTCCGTTGGACTTTAACCAGATCCTAGTATGCAATGGCTGACGATTTCCGCTGTGGAGTACGCCGATGCCATCCATTGCTGTGCTATAACTTAGCTGCAACCTTGCAACAAGGAACTTCGAATTCGTCAGCAACGGCGGGGTCGAGTTCATTTTCAGTGCCTTGCGAGCATTTTGGGAGCGATCAGCCATGACGGCCCAAATCCAACGATTCCCGTGTCTTAGGTAACCCAGCGGCATACACCTGTATGGCCGTGGAGTTCAACTTGCAGACGGTCGCGTCGCTTATCAACTACCGCAAGGGCAATGCTCTTGGGCAATTTGCAGGTGCCTGGGTGGCCTAGGTTCTGCGAAACGTGCATTCCCGGAAGCTCCCTTTGAAGCGCCACAGACTCCCAAATGCCACTTTTCCATCAGAGTTACACGATCATGATGTTGACGACTGCCTCCCTGTTCTGCTTCTAAGCTACTGAGTCCAACCATGCTGAGGTGTGATTTTTGCCAGGCGTGGCGGGAAGGGATGTGCAGTGGGGGTTAATCTAGAGTCCAACGGATGCGAGGTTCAGGTTCTGTGCCTAGCCTCCTCGATCAGAACTTCGGTTTACCAGCCTTGGGGGCACTTGGGCGACATGATTTCACGGGGCCAGTACTTATGTTTTGCGTGCTGGGATGAAGAGTGCAAGTGTTTCCAGTATCGTGACGTCACAGAAGCACAAGCGGGTGTGTCTTCTCATCCGCGTTTGTGCAAGTAGCATCAACCAGCCCTCGTCCCCGTGCATGTTTGCATACATTGTGGTGACGGATACTGACTTGCACGAGGGCCCTCGCCACTTTTAACATGAAGGGTATGCGTCCACCCCATCCCATCTTGACGGTGCTGGTTGCATTGAAAAATCGCGTCCTGAGATTCAGTTGCCGGGCAGTTGGTTGCCGGTATGACGCTATCCTGAGCGATTTTGTGCAATGAAGCCTTAACCGAACATCGATCAAGCGTTCAGGTTGATAAGAGGTTGGAATAGCGCGGATGGGTGGATTTCGGCTGTCCGTGCCAGCGGAACAAGGCAACATGCGCAGGTCAGTCTGGAGAATTTACGCAAATGACCCGATAAATAGGGGAGTCATGAGAACCAGCTATGTAAAGCAAAAGGAGGGGTCATTGTAAAAGCTTGCAGCTTGCTTGGACCGGAAGAAGTCGGCGTTGTCGAATTCGTACATCCCATCCTTGTAATTGCCAGTCAACTGTTCAACCGAGACACCCTGCAATGCGGGCTTCGTCCTTGCTAGGTAGGAGGGAAAAAAATTGCCAATCACCCGTCTTTGCTGGGGAAGTTTCCCCCGTTAAGGTGCGCAATTGCTAGCTTGCTAATTGTGATGCTCCTGATATATATATATATATATATATATATATATATATATGTATGTATGTATGTATGTATGCATGCTAAATGGTTCGCATTAGCAAGGATTGCACAATTGCCTTCACATTATGTGTTTCGTTTGCTTGGCTCCAGGGGATTTGCATGGGATTGTCTCTCGGGAACGGGGAAGAAAGAGCTGTAAAGAAAGTCTTTGCAGTCTTCGCAAGACTGGGTTAGTCGATAACAGCCAAGACAGGGGAAGTTGCAAATTTCCAGAGCGAAAATACGTCACGGATACGGTCTAGGATGCCTGATCAGCTGGTTTCTTGGGGTGGCAACACGTTTCCCTGAGGCAAGACTCTGCGTTTCACACCATCGACGACCTGCGCAATGCTAGAGTGGAGGCCGTTTAAGCTTGAATGCATCTTGAGCTGCGGGTACAATTCTGTCGGTGTAACTTCACGCATTTCTACTGATGGTAGCACTAGCAGTGGTGAATGTCAAGTGCGCATTGCACCACCCTTGCTGGTGCGAGTATTGCCAATGCTGAGAGTATTGCTTATCGTAGGTGCTATCTGATAAAGCGAACTGACTGTTATCGTTGGGGTCACGCATGTGCTCGCATGTGTGTGTGTGTGTCTCTGTCTCTGTCTCTGTCTCTGTCTCTGTCTCTGTCTGTGTCTGTGTCTGTGTGTGTGTGTGTCTGTGTGTGTCTGTGTGTCTGTGTCTCTGTGTGTGTGTCTCTGTGTGTGTGTGTCTCTCTGTCTCTCTCTGCGTCTCTCTGTGTCTCTCTGTGTCTCTCTCTGTGTCTCTCTCTGTGTCTCTCTCTGTGTCTCTCTGTGTCTCTGTCTCTCAGTCTCTCTGTCTGTCTGTCTGTCTGTCTGTCTGTCTGTCTGTCTGTCTGTCTGTCTGTCTGTCTGCCTCTGTGCGTGTGTGTGTGTGTTTGTGTGTGTGTGCTCGTGTGTGGGGACACCACACGCCGACATGCCAGAAAATGCGCTGACATGAAAACGCTATAGATGTCCGCCGCCATGGTAAAAATTCCACCCCGACATGAAACATTCTAACAGCAGTCCGCCAACCTGGTAAAAATTACTTGCCGACATGTCACAAATTTAGCGCCGACATGCAAAAAGTAAAAACTAGATGTCCGCCAGAAATACCAGCCGACATGGCCAAAATACGCGCCGATGTGCCCAAAACGCGCGACGAGATGGAAGAACTCGGTTTGCATGAGGATCCTACAAGTTATATAATATAAGAAGTTCACTATTGTAGTTGACAAATTTGTAAAGCAACCCGAAAACACGGCCCGACATGCCAAACACGAGCGCCGACATGGAAAAATCATGCACCGACGGCGCTGCGTTTTTGCATCTCGGGGCGCGTCGTTTTCATGTCGGCGCACGTAGACAATCATTACCACGTAGAGCTATATACAATCTTTGCCCTTTGTTCATGTACCATCAACGCAACTGCTTTTGCTGAGCAGCTGCTGTGATTCCTGCAGCTGTCATGACTATCGCCGTCCGAATTGATACAGTACTCGTGAGAAGCCTGGCTGTGGCGTAGGTGTTTGTTGCTGCTACAGGCGGGCCTGATACGGCCGTTGTTGGTGATGCTCTAACGAGTTTGTCTTCCGAAACTCTCCTTCAAACGTGCACGCCTCCGCCTCGTCAAGGCCGTTTCAATCTCTGGACTGGGTGGCTGGGCTGGACTAGCGAGCAAGTGAGTTTGTACCCTCCGGATGTGCTGCCCGTAGCCCAGTTTCTTGGATCTGGAGGGATTCTAGGATTCTAGGTCATCGTCTGGGTTGCAGGTGATGAGCAATCAGGTTTTCCATTCCAATTCTATATGAGGTGCAATGCAGCTCCAGCAGGCAGAACCTCGGCTTCCAAAGTCTCCCCTCTCTCTTGCTCTCGCTCTCTCTGTCTCCCTCCGCGTTTCTCCCTTCGCTTCAGCGGAGCAGGATGCGAGTGATTGAAGCCTGGCGTTGAGTCGGTTCATTGCATAGGAGGAGGCTGCAGAATGAGTGCCCACGCCCAGAGAAAGCCGACATCTTCCAAAACCGATTCGGCCTGTGACAGTTTTGCGTTGCACCTTGGATCCAGGCCCGGCCCTCTGTAGCACAACATGTTTAGGTTAGATCTTGATTGGTAGCTGCAGGTTCTGCTCACGATAGGTTCCAACCGACAGCAGAGATGCCAGCTTTCGTTGTCCGAGGAACTCCTAGCCCAGGGCTTGAACATCATGACAGATGTACCTCGACTGACTTTCGCCTTCAACCAGAACAAGATCGTGCAGGACCACCAGCAGCAAAGAAAGGAATGATAAAGCTCGGCACAGAAGATGCGTGCCGATAGGTCCTTTGGGCAGTACTGTTGGCCTTCTGGCCAGCTAGATGCCAGACTCAGTACCGTCGTGAGCTTTCTTATTCTTCTGCAATGACGCAAAGTTCGAAGCTTTGATCCTCCAAAAGAGAGGTCTTTGTCTGTTTAGGGCTGGGTCGCGGTGAGAGCTTGTCCGAACCTCAGGACGTCGAGCTCGGTCTCGCAGACGTCGGCTTCGTGAGAACCGACCTGATCGACCGAAATGTTGCTAGCAATCTAACGAAGTGGCTTGGCTGCTTTGTGGGGCGTGCAAAATACGAGTTCATGAGCCGTATCGGCATGAAGCAGCGGAGGTGGGAATATTTCAGAGTTATCGGCCAGATCCCAGAGGCTTGCCAGCAGACGTTTCACAGCTGGAGCACTCGACACTGTCTTGATTCAATCCGCATGTGGCTCCGACTGTACCTTTAACTAAGAGGTCCGTCAGTTACTGGTAGCAATTTCTGAAGACAAGATATGAAGCTCGTCTGAGCTAAAGCTCCACGTGATAGTGAGAACATGCAGTGTTGTCTTAGCTCCGACCCCTGTGAGGGTTGACTTGCGTCTTGGTGCTGCGAAATGTAGCTCTTTGTAAGATTGCAAGAAAGATTGCAAGAAATCACATTTGGAATCCGACATGCCTCTCTCCATCCTCCATCATGATTTCAATCAGCAGCTCTCCAATGCCCGCTCAGGCATGACGGAAGTATGGTTGTTGTAGACTGGCCTAAGCACAGCTCCGAAGGCACAATGACCGTACTCACAGTGTTCGATGGACGGGATGTTGTCGTCATGATGGCCAGCTGCTGCTCATCATTGCTTGCATCTCATTGCCATGCCTGATCGGGTTGCTGTGTGCGTGTGTGTGCGAGCCGGCGGGTACATGAGCGCAGAACTCCAGCAAGTGCTCGCCAGCCCCTTTGTGCATCCTTGACCACGCAGACAGCGTTCTGAGTCAAAACTCGTTTTCCAAGGACTCGGACTTCCCATTCGCTCGCTCCACGGCTTTCACGCCGGAGTGGCCCATTGGTGCTTTGCCACATGTAACTGACGAGGCTCGGTCGAGTCGCATCTTGGGAGTTGTCGACGTTTAAAGGCTCTAAGTTTACCATGTTGAGGTGAGGATTTCTAGGCCAGCTGCATGCTGGGACAGCGGTCGTAGAGAGTGTAGCGAAATCCGATTTCATTCGATGTTTCCTCCTGGGGCACAGGTCAAGGAGCTGGTCGCAAGCTCCCTCATGGCTCTTGATCGCTTCTCACCGGATCCAGAGTTGTCCCAGCCAGCCATTGCAGGCATCACCGGGTCATTTCAGATCAAGAGTCCTGATCCCGTCTAGTGCGATTTTGCAGTGCAGCAACCCGTGGAAGTCTCACATGCTTTACCAGAACATGTTATGCCTGACAACATCCCTCAAGCTTCCGATCTGGGAGCTAGGGGTTGCCAACAACCTGCCACAAAAAGGCTTGTCGTGCTGTTGGGCACACCGGCCCCAAAGTACGGACTGGGCATGGCGGCACTGCCCAACTGTGCCATCTGCCAGGTAATTTTGCCAGCTGGTCCACACCAATGACTCTGAACAGCAGCTATGAATCAGGTCCGACGTAACTCAGGGCCTGAACCAAATGGCTTAGTTAGGCTCAAGCAGCTCTTGTTGCTTGAGCCTCCCGACCCTGAAGCCACTGCTTTGGGAACAGCAAGTCCAAACATCAATTTCGATTGCTTCCTTAATGGAATGTCTGGGATCATTGTTCAACAGCGTACATGACTTCAGATTCAGGGTTCAAGACGATTCGCTTGTTCCTGCTCTCACGTGTAGACCCTGCGCTGAACATTAAGGAACTATTTCGGTCTTCTGGACATGCTCCAAAGCATCGAGATTCTCACCTGCAACTTACACTCCTGGGTCATATCTGTTTTGGGACTGAGCACAACTTGGATCTCAATCCTGATTTTCTTGAGTCTTGGGGTTCCGATTGCTGCCCTTATGCTTGCTAGCACTATCCGTGAAACTGGTTGCAGCTTCGCCTGGATCCACTCCGGAGTTCAATAGTCAATAGTCGAACTTCTGTGTCATGGTGACCGCATCAGATGTTCAACGAAGCCACAAGAAGGCAAGCACGTGTCCGTGCAGAGTAGACACGAAGTAGACACGGTGTAGCATATCAAACAGAAACTGATGGCGGGGTCCTAGACTCATCCTCAAACACGCACAAACGGCTTAGATTTTGGAGCTCCGACAGATGAATGCTGTAATTGAGAATTGGAGCTGGAATCTTCTTGCTACAAGGCTACTCCTTCACACTCACTGCCACCGAGGTATTACGACCGAAGCTCGAAGAAGTGCTTGCGGAGTTCAGACGAGTACGAGCCACGGTTGAGCCAAGCTTTCGATTGTCACTCACGGAGGAAAGTGCTTGTTGGCACTTGTGCGGCAGAAGGATCACGATCACGATGGGGATTGTCGTCTCTTCTGATCCGTTTCCAACAGACTGTGCAAGCACGTGCAATCCAGAAATTGACACGCCGAACATGCACGATTAGAGTATCAGGTGTCAAGCAGAAGGGGACCGCTCAGAAATAGATGAAGTCAGAACCTGGTTGAAATTGCTGACTCATTGTTCTCTTCTTGTGTACCTTCCCACTGGTTAGATGGCTGTGGCTCTGGCTCCTTGTTTTTGCGACCGGTCATCACCCGTCTCCCCTGTGCAAGTTCGGTATTAACAATTTTAAGTCATGCTTGGTGCTTTCTGTGAGCACTACCGCCGGCACACACTTGCTTAGTCGCTTAAACATCCTAGCGGCTAGCTTGCCCTGGCATGCTATGCAGACCAGTCCGGTTTTCCTCATATTTGGTGCCAGCCGCGACCACGACCACAACTGCTACTATTGAAGTTCTTGGTCCTTGGTGTTAACCCTTACCATGACCACAGTTGTTGGTTTCTCTTGCCGTCGTTCTGGTCCACAAAGCAGGTTGTAGTTATGATTGACCACGAGTCTGACAAGAGACTATTCCTACAGCTGCCAATGCTGCCATTCGTCATTGTGTGTTTTCGCTGGCTATTGCTGGTGCCATTCTGAGCGTCGTGCTCATGAATGTTGTTTAGATTATGCTGTTAGCACTGCTGGGGTCGTCCTGGTCCAGCAGTTCAGTCGTCGGCAGAGGAGATCAGATGCCTGGATGCAAGTGTGTTGATGGAGCGAGTGGGCCAGTTGTTAGGGACGGTAGCCACAACCGAGGAGGCAATCAGGTGCCCCGCCGGCTTTGTCAAGAAGGGGAGAGACAAGGTGTTTTGCGAGGACTGAGGTGCTCTTGTGCCCGAGGTTTTGACATGAGCTCCCGCCAGTCGGCTACGTTGTTAACCACTGTTCCTGAAAACTTGCTGTGACACATGGATCACCATCTATGCAGACTCTTGTTGTGCTTCAGCTTTTGTATAAGACCTAAACAGCTCCGCCTGTACCGCCTAGGAAAATTTCCAAACCCGAGCCCTGAGCCCGAAAAGGACTGCAGTGTGGAGAGCTTGAATCCACAAAGTAGGTAGGGAGAAGGTAGTAAACCTCAAAGGACTACATGAAGCTTGTGCCCTGAAAAGAATGAGGAGTTGCAAAGTCAATGTAACTCCGAAACCCCCGAAAAAATGCGTGGCAAACCCTGACCGGTGTGGGATGGTGTGGGGAGCCTGGCTGAGCGTGAGCACCGAAAGGGAGGTGGGGCGCGGACAGGAATAAAAAATCAGCAGTGTGGGCACATCGTGAACACATGGATAGGTTGCGAAGTGTTGTAAGTCACGACTCCGACATTGCCAGTCGTTTTTGTAGCACTGCACGGTGTCTTGTTGACACTTGATTAGATTCTAACCCTCCTCCCGATTATTTGAGCAATAGTGGACTCAGACTTGGTGCGGCGACAGGGCAACCAGGTCCGTGTGATCCCTCGCGCAGAGCATTTCACGTGATCGGTGACATGTTTATGTCACAAGCTCGAGGACGATAAACGAAAAACCGACCCCAGTTCCCCGAACCAGCTCGAACCGGTGGACTTGACTTTCTGACCTTGGGGAGGACTGTCGCATTGGCTACAGCTGCCTTTGCTCTCCTTGTGCAAAGCTGCGGGATCCAGAATATGTGCCCTGGCTTGTAGACCTTGAACCCGTTGAAGAGTTTCTTCACCCCCGCAGTGCTTCGACTGGCCTCCAAGCCTGGGCTTTTTTGGGGATTGGATCTCTGCGGTGTAATTGGTTTGGCACCCATGGACATCCGTCGCCGAGCACAGTGACCAGGAGTCTGAGGCACCAAGTTGGCTCAGCATAACGCACAACTGCGTAACCAAGCGACCAGGGAACAGTTCAGAAGTGGTGATGATGGGTGGGATGGTTTTCATGCTCAGACATGAAGAAAAAGAAACAAGGCAAGCATCACAGCGCGAGCCATGTAAATACCACTTTGCGAGAGTTATAGTGACTAATAACCAGATCCGAGTACTTGTGGCCTTGCACCAAGAAGCAACCAGTAACCCACGAACTTCGTCAACAACTACTACGACTGCAACGACTGCGCACACACCCACCGGACAAACAGCTGCTGCTGCTCCTGCTGCTACTCTGCCTCGTTGAGCACCTCGTCAACTGCTCCTAACAACAAGGTACTAGTGTCAACTGCTACTTGCAATTGCTAACTACTAGCTACACCCTATTCCCTACCTGCTGTTGCTACAGCTACTACTACTACTACTACTACGACGACGACTACGACTACGACTACGACGACTGCTACTACTACTACTACTACTACTACTACTACTACTACGACTACGACTACGACCACTCCTACTACTACTCCTGCTACTAGTACTACGGTTGATCAACAGTAGTACTGCTGCTCCTGCTACTGCTACCACTGCTACCACTGCTACTACTACTACTACAACAACTACCACTACCACGACTATGACTACAACTACGACTATGACTACTAGTGCTACGACGACGGCTACTACTACTACGGCTACTGCAGCTGCTGCTGCTGCTCCTTGTAGAAAACTACTGCTGCTACTACTACGACGACGACTACTGCTACTCTGCTACACTACTTCTACCACTACTACCACTATGACGACGACTACTACTACGACTACTACGTCTACTGCTACTGATACTCCTGCTACTCCTGCTCCTGCTGGTTTAGCTACTGTTAGTGTTACTGTTACTGCTAGTATTACGACGATGCAATTGCTGCACTGAAAGTACGTCAGTCGAAACAGCTGTGACAAGAGAAAAAGGAGGAGATATTGCTTACACGAGTAATTAGTTACCGTAGCTCAAACAAAGCTGTGATTCTTAAGGTCATGAAAGCTTCATTGTCAAGCACGGCCTGGAGGGGTAACATCGACGTTGATCAGGCATCTCTGTGTGGGTTCGGTGAAAGCATTGAGCACGAATGACTGTAAGTTGAGTTGACACGGCATCTGTTGGCTTTCCATTCCACTTGAACCCCTCCTCTCCCCCCTCGTCCCCTCCGCTCTGCCTATCCTCCCCCTTCCCTTTCCCTTTACTCTCTTCTCTCTCTCTCTCTCTCTCTCTCCTTCGCTTCCCTCCTATCCCTTGGTGCCTAGCATCCAGCTGAGCAAGAAACACGGTAAAGAAAACGCAATTGATCCTGCAGAGGTGAACAACCTGACTACTGTTGCGAGCAGCTGCGAGCGCATGTCCGTGTGCGGCCGATGGAAAACAATTAGTATGCCAGTTTTCTGAAATCAATCATGTGTTGGCACCGTTCCTATTTGACGTGGTGATAGATCGTACAGCACTTGCAGTAAACAGTTCACCAAGGTCAGGTCTTTGCTGGACAGAAGCTCCGGTGGGTTCTATTGGACCAGATCGGGACTGCAAGTCGAACCGCCATTAACGCACCACTGGTAACCAGTGTGCAGATTCGCACGGCTATTGATGGATCATGGTTTTCTACAGATGTTCGCAACGTTACGATCGACGATGAGGACACGCAGGAGTATACTCTGGAGTATGATGTGCAAGGTTCTGGCACGCAAGTGGTTCAAGTGGACATTAATGGCCAACCCGCGGCCCTGTCGCCTGTGGTTCTCGAAGTCCTTCCCGCGCCACTCCGCCAGATTGAATGCCCTCCGGGCAGGGAGGCAGACTTTGATGGCGCTTGCACACCCTGTGCACCCGGCACCGCTTCAGCAGGCGGTGGTGCCCCATGCCGACCATGCGATCCGGGCACTTTCCAGCCACTTGCAGAGCAGTCAAACTGCGAGGCTTGTGCAGTCGGCACATTTCAAGAATCACCCGCGTCGCTGCAGTGTGAACTGTGTCCGCCAGGGTATTCCAGCCGCGGCAAGATTGGGTCTCTGGTTTGCAGTCCATGTGATCCTGGCCAGGAGGCTCCCAACAACGGCTCCGAGAGGTGTTCACTTTGTCCCCGTGGGTTTTACAGCCAAGATGAGGGATCCAGCCAATGTTTGCAATGCAGTGGCGGGAAGGGGACCACCGAGCAGGGCGTGACAAATCCCGATCTATGCATTTGTCTCCCTGGAGAGTTTATTGATACTGTCGATAGTTCAGGAGGCGTTTTGGCAGCACATGGTCGTCTTTAATTGTTCTATGCGGGTTGTAGGCGCAAGCAGGCGGACCTGAGCACCCTATGCCAGAGCTGAAGAATCAAGCAGCATGCACTGGACGTTCATCAGCACACTGGACATTACACCTGTTCACTGGCTAGTCGCTGTTGGTTGTTGACTGACATCCAGGCAACGACACTTCAGCCATGGGCGGGCAATGCATTCCATGCACTCAGGGACTCGTATGTCCAGGACTCCGGGACCTTCAAGGATTGCTGTTGTCAATTAAAACAGTGCCACAGCTTTGCACGGTGGTAAGTGGGGTGGATCCGCGGCAATTGCCGTCTCTGCCTTGGAAGGGCACCAGAAAGCGCAGGAGTGGTATGTTCTACATATTCTGTGAAGCATGATAAGTGCAGAATATGAACTTCAAGGCCTGCAGGTGTTGCATTTCCTGTATGTTCAACCTGGCATGGATATCCGGGCATCTAAGTGTCGACACTGCCCTGAAGCAGCAGGAGGCAACGGCCCTCCACTGCAAAAAGCTGGATTCTGGGTGGACACCGCAGAGCACGCAACTTGTCAAGGATGCATGCAATGCTCGCGCTGCAGGTTGCTGCCAGTCGGCGCGAGTCGGTTAGTGTATTTCTGACATGTTGCCCTGTACTCGCATAGCCTGAAGCCTGCTGGTCAGATTAAGATGGTGGGAATCGCTGACGTGAACAGGGAGCGTTGGTTTTGCACTGGTAGGGCCATCGTCCGTCACAAGACTTACCGGTCAGATTGAGATGCCGAGAAGGTGATGACACAGCCCAGACCCCGAATGCAGGGAAACCTTCAGCTGAATGCCCATCTGTGGCCGCGAGCCATGCTTTGAGCAGCGCAGCACGGGAGACGTCTAGATTCTAGATGTTGCCTCGTATGTATCTACACGAGACTGTTCCTGCTTGTCCACCAACGAATGTGGCTTTGCGGAATTGTGCTCACAATCTCAGAGCCCCTTCGCTCGTCAGACGCCATTCCTGTGTTCTGCATCGGTCGGTGCGCTAAGGGATACTCGGCGTACCGTTGCCGCGACAGGTGGCAATGCCCAGAGGCCCCGAAGATCTGGGAAGATTAAAGTTCCAAACGTGTCCAAGGGTAAGTCCTTTTTGAAATCTAAGCTATGCTACTGCTAAAGGAAGGTCATGAGGCATATTTCAAAGGCTCGGAGTCAAAGACCTTCAGATTTCGATGTGCCTGGGCCTTCGTCCGGGCATGTGAAGCTCAGAGCCCGAAGCCATCGTGCTGCAGGGGCTTCTGAGTTCGTGCTCCGATGGCCGTGAAGGGCTCGCTTGCAACAACTGCAAGGCACGAAGAGACTGAGCAGAGGGGTCGTCCTTTTGGCTTTCGTTGGCCTTTGCTGCTAGGGATGCAGGCACAGATGACGGAGTATTTGTTGTAGGTTGCAGGAGATTGAGGAGTCTGACGCCGGGGTCATCCAGACCTTCCCAACTGCCAAGAGGTACCCAGAGCTGAGCAGCACACCGCTCCATTGCCATAGGTCGCACAGTGGCCCTATAGGATACAACAGAAGCGGCGGAACTTGGACATGAGGCAAATGTCACCAGCGCAACCTGCAAATACTGCACATGCTGATGAATCAGTTACGCCATTCATATACCAGTGCGCGGCAGGAGTGGCATCGTCAAGGATCACAAGGCAAATGCAAGCCGTGTGAGGGTGTGGCTGGGACATCAACTGTGACTATGCCTTGCTCGGTGTTTGGTTTTACCAAGCTGCGATCGATTGCGAGTTGAATTTCCCAAGGTGGATGTTCTTCCGGCGATGCTGCTTCTGCTGGCAACCGTGCTGACCGGAGGGGTCTTGCTTTCCTTCGTCCACACCAACGCAGCGCGCCAGCGGCATCTTGACTGAATTCGTCACTCGGGATCAGGTTCCGCTTGAATTGCTTTGCGGCCGACACCCTGTTGCCAGCTGCTAGCCTGGTGAAGCGTCCATTGACGTCACGATCCTCAGCAGCCAAGGCTTGGCCAGGTGACCGTTTTCCTGACCGCCGGCCAGCAACTTGCAACGAAGGGTGGCAGTCGAGCGGGATTTCATCTCCTGCAATACGCTGTTCATGTTCGACACCCCATACCCCATATGCTGCTTCCATCCCATCGAACCCCCTTGTGAACTGCGCATCGCAAGGATTATCCTGATGTTGCAACTCATGGCGGCCATGAGGAGCGGGCAGAGTGCAGGGATCACCGCCAAGGGCAGCCGAAGCTCCCTTCAAGTGAACATCGTGTCTTTTCACCTGCAGCCTGAAAAGCGAACACGCTAACCGTTAACCGTTAACCCGACTTTCCATAGGGGATAGGCATCAAAAAAATAATGTGGATCAAAAAAATTAAATTTGGATCAAACAAAATTAACCTAGCCGAAGCCACGACAGGAAGGAAGGAAGGAAGGAAGAAAGGAAGGAAGGAAGGAGGAAGAAAGGAAGGAAGGAAGGAGGGAAGCAGGAAAGGGAGGAGGGAAGGAGCAAAGGAGGGAAGAAGGAAAGAAGGAAGGATGGAGGGAAGGAAGGAAGGAAGGAAAAAAGCAAGGAAGCAGCGAGGAAACAAAGAAAGAAAAGCAAGAGGGAATGAAAGGAAATGGAAGGAAAGGAAGGTGATCACCCACGCGCCATTTAACTGCAAACTGGCCGCTTTCTTGAGTTGTCGAGCCACATGAAATCGCTTTAGGGGGGTAAACCGAGCAAAAAGTTCATGTTGGAAGGTTTGCAAGTGGGGGGGTCTGCGCCGCCCCCCAACCCCCTCGTTTTCTTCTCACGAATGAAACGTCTTCACCGACAGGCAAAAGGGCGAAAGCCAGACGTGCTCGCTTTGGGAGGTCAAGACCAAGAAAACAAGGTAAAACGAAAACGTGAATCTCTGTGGATGACGGAGAGAGGGGGAGCCACATGAAATTGCTTTAGGGGGGTAAAAGCGAGCAAAGCAAAGCTCATGTTGAAGGGTTTGCAACTGGGGGGGGGGGGGGGGCTGCGCCCCCCCCCCAACCCCCCCGTTTTTTTAACTGCAAACCGCCCGCTTTCTTAAGTTGTCGAGCCACATGAAATCGCTTATGGGGTGTAAAAGCGAGCAAAGCAAACGGTCATGTTGGAAGCTTTGCAAATGTGGGGGTCTGTGCGCCCCCCAACCCCCCCGGTTTTTTAACTGCAAACTGGCCCGCTTTCTTAGTTGTCGACCACATGAAATCGCTTTAAGGGGGGTATAAGCGAGCAAACAAAGTTCATTGTTGGGAAGGTTGCAACTCGGGAATCGGGGGCTGCGCCCCCCCAACCCCCCCCCGGTTTTTTAACTGCAAACTGTCCGCTTCTTAAGAGGCTGTCAATGAATTAAAGACGTTTTTTCTAAATGCACAACAGGACAAAGCCACACGAAAACACTTCAGGGGATTTAAAATTCGAAGAATATAAAATTTCTCATGAATGAAACGTCTTCACCGACAGGCAAAAGGGCGAAAGCCAGATGTATTCGCTTTGGGAAGCCAAGAGCAAGAAACAAGAAAACAAAGGTAAAACGGCAACGTGAGTCTCTGTAGAAAACGAAGAGAGGGAGAACCCACATGAACTGCTCGCTTTCTTAACTTGTCGAGACACATGACATCGCTTTAGGGGGGCAAAAGCGAGCAAAGCAAAGCTCATGTTGGAAGGTTTGCAAATTGGGGGGGTTGCGCACCCCCCAACCCCCCCGCTTTTTTAACGGCAAACTGCCCGCTTTCTTAAGTTGTCGAGCCACATGAAATCGCTTTAGGGGGTACAAGCGAGCAAAGCAAAGTTCATGTTGGAAGGTTTGCACATGGGGGGGTCTGCGCCGCCCCCCAACCCCCCCGTTTTCTTCTCACGAATGAAACGTTTTCACCGACAGGCAAAAGGGCGAAAGCCAGAAGTGCTCCTTTTGGGAGGGCAAGACCAAGAGAACAAAGTAAAACGAAAGCATGCATCTCTTTGGATATTTTAACGGAGAGAGGGAGAGCGACATGAAATCGATTTAGGGGGTAAAAACGAGCAAAGCAAAGCTCATGTTGAAAGGTTTGCAAATGGAGGGGGGCTGCGCCCCCCCAACCCCCCCGCTTTTTTAACTGCAAACTGCCCGCTTTCTTAAGTTGTCCAGCCACATGAAATCGCTTTACGGGGGTAAAAGCGAGCAAAGCAAAGGTCATGTTGGAAGGTTTGCAAATGTGGGGGACTGCGCCCCTTAACCCCCCCGTTGTTTAACTGCAAACTGCCCGCTTTCTTAAGTTGTCGAGCCACATGAAATCGCTTTAGGGGGGTATAAGCGAGCAAAACAAAGTTCATGTTGGAAGGTTTGCAACTCGGGAATCGGGGCTGCGCCCCCCCCAACCACCCTCCCCGGTTTTTTAACTGCAAACTGCCCGCTTTCTTAAGCTGTCGATGAAATGAATTAAAGACGTTTTTTCTAACCGCACAACAAGGACAAAGCCACACGAAAACACTTCAGGGGATTTAAAATTCGAAGAATATAAGATTTCTCATGAATGAAACGTCTTCACCGACAGGCAAAAGGGCGAAAGCCAGATGTATTCGTTTTGGGAAGCCAAGAGCAAGAAACAAGAAAACAAAGGTAAAACGACAACGTGAGTCTCTCTGGAAAACGAAGAGGGGGAGAAGCCACATGAACTGCCCGTTTTCTTAACTTGTCGAGACACATGACATCGCTTTAGGAGGGCAAAAGCGAACTACTGATTTACCCTTTTTGATACTGTTTCTAAATTTTGGAGTCCGAGTCCTTTTTTTGATCCAAATTTATTCTTTATTTGATCCGTCACCCTCGATCACCCCTTGTTTTTTGTGTGATTCTGTGGCGGAAGTACTGATTTATTTTTTTTGATACAATTTTTATGTTTTTTGATCTTTGTGCTTTAATTTTTTTGATCCAAATTTAGTTTGTTTTTGATCCGTCACCAACTTTCCGCCGGCTGCCCGAAGTCCAAGCCATGGAGGCATCTGACAGTTGAGACACATGTCCTGCAGGGTTCGTCACAACTTGGCTGTGCGTGGTTGCACATCGTTTCCAGCAACATGCAGGGCCCCAAGAAGCAGAGTCCCCGCAAGTCTGATGGGTCATCATAAGCACGCTTGCCTCGGATTCTGCACCCAAGCCGTTACAATAGGTTCAACCCTGACCAACTGAAGACGCCAAGTTTTGGTGTCCTGCAACCCTCAGCCGATCTCAGCCGTAATCCAACTTGCCGTTCCGTAGACAGGCATCGCGAGCACCCACGCCTGAAATTCCATGGTGACATTTGAACTTACATGTCCAAGCCGTGCTGACAGGAACTTGGATCTGCAGTGGACAGGCACGCCTTGTGTCGGATGGAGTTGTGTTTGCGTCAATGCCAAGTCCCTGTGTGTAAAGTTTGGTCGTTCCTTTTGCGTGCCAAGTTATGCAGTAAGAGACCAACGAAAGCTTACCACTCTCAGCTAGTAGCGTGCGATGCTGCAAGTGCACGCGCAGCCGGTGTTTCGAGCTCAGCAGGTAAGCTGGAGCCTGCCTTTCCTATGTCCAGGACCTGCACTCTACGTGTTTGAGTTTCTTGAAATCTTTGCCTTCGACGTGGACTTCCTGAACATAGGACGACATGTGTGCTCGATGCTTGAATGCTTCGGGAAATTCAGGAAGCGAATTTCCCCCGGGTTCGCAGGTTGGGCACCAGACCGAGGAAAGAGTTCAGTGGTCCAATCACTGCAGGATGCGTCGTGTCCAACGACGGCGCCGTGCTAACCTTTGCCATGCAGCTTCTCGCGTACCCAGTTTTTGCAGCATTGCTCATACTGGTGTGGGCCACTACGCTTCAATTTTGGCCTTTCTTTATGTCGCTGCACATTGTTCCCCAGTGCTGTGAGTCGTTTGACTTCGCAGATTGTGCCTCGAGCTGTGTCTCGCAGCTACAACCGCAGAACCTGGCTTCTTTCAGGTTTGCATCAGCCGACTGGGGCTGGAGGTCAGGGGCCCAGATGGGTGAGTGGAGTGCGACGGGGTGTCCAGTGCCAAGGCATAGCAGTCTACTCGTATGCAGATGTATGCAGTGCTCCGTTGCAGGTAACAGGGAACGATGTGATCAACATGAACGGCTTGGCCTTGCTCACGCTGTACATGACCCTCACCATCAATTCGCTCTTGCCATTGCAATGCGTCGCCAACCCGAACGGGACTTTCAGTATGCAGACGCAGCCTGGTGTGCCCGGCACTCAGTCCTTGCGAGATCTCGACTTGGCCGGACTTGCCCGTGTGCCAGGATATGCTTCCAGTCCGATGAGCACTGGGCCCTGATGTTCATGTGCGTTCTCGGCATCCTTATGTACCCAGTGGCTATTCTTTCCGTGGCTCTGCGGGCCACGATCATGTACCCGCACCTTGCCCAAAGCCGCGTCTAGCATCATTACAGCTGGTCAAGGTAAGGACAGTGGCCAAAGAGTTGGAAGCTGCATAGGCTTGTGGATTCCACAAACAAAGCCCAAGGCCCAAGGCAAGAGAAGAAAGTCTGTAAAGCCAAGAACGGACAGGCTAGACGACGGCTGGCTTCAAGAAACCTTGTTTGCCTCCTTGCTTCAGGGTATCGGAGCTCACAAAAAGCAAGTCCATGCATTAGGATTATGTTCGCACGGGGTGTGCTCTTGCACCTGCTCTGTTTCAGCCTTGTTTCTCGGGCCTCCGCGAGCGCATGGTTCGGCCGTCCAAGATGCAAGGTTCCATGGTCCGGTGCAGCGCTTGAACCCGAAATGTCGCCGAATGAGTATCAAAGCTATAAGAGGTGGGCAAGTTTGAAAGCCCATGGTACAGTGCTTTCTTTGTAGCCTGAAACGGGATTGATAAGGTCCTCGAGTTTGTGGCATGCGAAGTAACCCGGACACTACAAAGCAAAGGTCCTACATCAGCTCCGGGAAGGGACTCCTCATCGTCAATCGATACCGATTCCTGTTCGAGCGATTTCGCTCCTTGGCATTCTGGCAAGGCGTCGAGGCGAGCGGAGTTCCCGGCAGATTTTGCTTGAACGCTGGTTGCAGCGTCTTCTGGACTTTTGGCCGCCCAATCGCGATACTGTACTGTAGAGGTCCTGCACAGTGACTCAAAAATCAGCTGGTTCTGTGATTTATCCGATGCGTAGTATGCAAAGTGACAACGACGAGGGGATGGGGAGGCAGGTGCGCTTGGCAGTCAGGGGATCTGTTAAACTTAGCGACATCCAAGAGTTGTGCACCTGAACACAGAGATCTCGTCTGGCGAGTCCGAGCTGCGAGAGCGTAACGGGCAAAGTCGTCAGTCGCATGTGACGAGACTGAAAGTTGCACCATGTGACGGCAACCAGATCCGGGGCCTGAAGTTCTGAAGTCATCCTGCACGCAAAGCCGCAAAGGTGCTAGCCGCTATTACTACGGCGTGGCTTTGCAGAATTTCCATGCCTCCGAACATGCAGGGCCACAGGGATGGTTTGATCTGGTGCAAACTCGATGTTGCGGAGTGCCGGCTTTGCGAGGTCAATCCTTGCTGTCCGAGTGTGGTTGGTCGCGGTGTAGAATCGAAGAGTATAGTTTCTGGATCGGGGATCCCAGACTTGACGTAGCAAAGCAAGGCCGTTTGTCTGGAAAGCAGTGAAGAGAACCGATTAAGCTTGCATTCTGGAATCCAGCATGCTTCAAGGTGCGAATGCAGCTTCATGTGTTGTGGTTTCAGGTTTTGAAGTCTGGCTTAGAACCGCTTTTGACCCACACGTCTGACCAACACCACCCGGTTAATGACTACGAAAGGCTACGGCCATTCTGGTCTTGGTTTCGAGCCACTGTTAGAGCGATGATCTTTCTGGCAACTTAGTGGTGCCAAAACACGGGAGAGAGCGCAGCCACACGGTCTCTCATCTGAGGTCAGCTATCTGTTGAGGACCCGCGTTGGGGTTACTGACTGAAGGAGGTTTCATTTTGGTGTTTGTTATCAGCACCACCAGCTCAGCAGAATCATCGATAACGTCGTCATCGTCACCAGCACTCGAGTGTAAAGGGGCATGTGTACCGATCCTTCAAAGCGCCTGCCCGGCATAGTCTCATAGCCTCGCTCAGCATGCCCTTCTTCAGGGTTTGGTAGCTGGTGTGCTTTTGGGACCCGATGACTCTTCGGAGACTTTGCAGAGGGGCCAGGTCTTGTCGAGCAAGGATCGAAGTCAAGCTGCACGGTGGCTGGAAGTTGTCACGGTTTCACCTGCTGGGTCCGCGAAATAACTTGGCCCACTCTGAGACCATCACGTGCATCTCCGTCTAAGTCTATAGAGACAGAAGTATGAAGTCATGCAGTGATTGCCAAATCCCAACCAGCGTCGTCGCTTGATATGGTTGCACTTTGACTGCCTACTATCTCTAAGCCTTCTAAGCCAAAGCCTCATAGCCCAGGTCCCCGCTCGAACCACAGCAGCCGTCCAGGAACACGCTCCTGGCGCTCATTCCTGTTGCTGTCGCGAGCTTCCCGACAGTGCAAGTCGTTTTGCTGGCGGCCGTGCTCCTCGCAGGCCGGCAAATGTTTTCCAAACCAGGTATTGCGCGAAATCGCCAGTCACCTTGGGCTTGGGATGCCCACTTTAACTTTCAAAGCCCGAAAGTCCCAAGTAATCAGCTGCTCCACGCCCGGCGCCTTGCACATGTGTTCTATGAGACCTCTCGGAGGCATGCTGGTGCAGATCCGCACATGGCCGTGGAGGACGCAAGTGGCAAACGCGTCGGCCCCAGAAGAAAGGAATGCTGTTGGCTGAGCTAATCAGCCAATCAGAGAACATTTCAATTCGCCGCGCCTCAGGGCATTGCTCGAGCACGTTTCTGCTTTGTGTACTCACAGCGATGCCCGGGCGAAGGGGATGCTTCAAGCTGCCAGATAGTCTGTAAAGGGGCTGGTGTTGGCACCCACCCCGCGATGCCGAGATGCTTAGGTCACAGACATGCTGTTCTCCACTGCCGTGGTGCTTTTCCTCGTGGTGGCAGGGCCCATCCTCAGCTCAGAGTCGGCTCAAGACCGCCAGGCTTATGCAGCTTGGTATTGACCTTCCTACTCTTGCGGAGAATCCTGGAAGTCGCAGGACTTCATGCAGAAACGAGCAACGTAACTAAGGCGGGCTTTTTGTCCTGGTCCTTCACCATGCTGCTGGCCTTTGCCTTTTTGACCTTGTTTGTAACGATTGGCCTTTTCCTGTGGAGAGCCTCGGCAGATGTTTAGATTGGATGGTGGAACCTTCTTTTCCGCTTCCCGTGTGGTTAGGGGGATGCAGCCTTGCTTTCGCTGCCTCGGACAATGCTGCCCCTGCCTGCCTGTGATGCTCTTGCCTTCGGCCTCCCGGACACAGGTCCAAGGAAGAAAGGAAGGTACGTCCGCCTCAACATTGCGGCCTTGAAGCCTCCACCATCCGAAACCTGAGCCCGTCCAAGTTCTCGTGCAGTTCGTATTGTCTTAAAGTACTGTTGCAGGACGATGCCATCCAGAAGCTTGGCTGCGCTAGGTTGCCGGGCTCAGGGCTCAAGGCCTGACTGTGTGCTGCCCCGCTGAGAGATAGAATCCTGCCGCTTTTGCTTTGAAGCAGGATCGTAAGCTCTGATGTGGGGGCAGATTTGAGGCTTCAGTGCATGCAGCATTGTTGCACCAAAGCCGACGTACCTAGCAGATCCTGGGAGCCTGGTTTGGAATCCGAAGGATTCCCAGAAGCTAGCCTAAAAGCCTAAAGCTACGTTCACCTTGCGGCTGCATCCAGAGCAAGGAGAAGACCTTCAAGATCTTCTTGACGCATCACAAGAGCGCCTGAGACATCCTTGAGGTGAGTGCATGCGGGTGCCAACGTTTTGAAGAGGGCCTGTAGGAAGGCCTGCGACACGTCAAGAACCACGATAGAAGGCGACGTTGTAGCAGAGTTGCGACCAGCGAATGCAGCATGCCCGCTGGCATTCCCTGGCCATTTATCTTAATTGGTTCTGAGCAAACCCAAGGTGCAGCCGGGGCGCTTGCACGCTTCATCAAGAGCATCTTGAACAAGCACTCCCATGACAAAGCTGCTCGGATCTGTGCAGACACGTTTCCAACTGTTTTCGAGAAACGTTTGGGCAAGACATCGGTGTCAGCAGTGCGGTGAGCTCTCGCAATCCCGACGCCCAACGGTTTCGCAGATCACTTCTATCGAGACACGGGATGATCGACTGCAAATGGAACGCCAGTTGCAGCCAAAAACCTTGAAGACTGCTGCCGCACCCAAGTCCATGGACCTGCAGCAACACGCCCCAGGTTTTCTTGGACTCTGATGAGTTGCAGGACTTGGATTCTCTGTTCGAGAGCGCAACTTGTCGTCTTTTACTGTAGGCCCAACTCTCCTTGGCCGCGAACCCTAGAACTCTCGGGTGTCGGATATCTTCTCTCAACTCCACTCAACTTGGACTACTGCACCTTCTGCCCTGGAGATGCTCTAGGACCTGCCAGGACCTGGACCATGCAGAGGTGATTTTATTTACATTGCATGGCGTGTTGGACCTGCAGCCGAGATACAGCGGTTGTAACAAAAGGAGGACGGTATTGAAATAGCAGGAGAATCAATCGCCATGAGAGGCCTCGGGCCAGGCTTCCGAAGCGAGAGCCCGGATGTTCCGTGCTTTACTGCCGGCCGGTTTTAGGAATCGAGGTCGTAAACGAAGCAAGGCTTGAGCATCGGTGTGTCAATCAGCAGCTTTTAGTTCCCGTGGTTGGTCCGTCGGAGAACTGAAATGCCTCGCTTCTCGGGTCCGAGAACCGCGTGATATCTCCTTGTGGTCAGTACTGCAGGTACGCAGCAATGTGGCTTTCTTGGTGCCTCTGCTGACGCCTCAGATGATGCTCGCTTGCAATCGATGCTGTTGGTCCTTGGTGGCTTCTTGAAACAGCTCCTTCTCTCACTTCCCGTCGATCTGAGACATAGCTGCTTTGCCGACCGCTTGTCGTGCAAAGTCAGTCGTACTCACTGAGGACTTGCATTCTCGCTGCTAGGACAGCTGCATTGTCGAACAGCTTTCTGCCAAGATGCGTTATGATCGCATGTGTCGCCAAACGCTGCCCAAAGGCACGCCCTTCACAATTCGGAAACGGCCTCTGCCCGGACAGCTGCAAAGAAAGTGCTGGAACCGAGGATTTCCCGCCCTTGGTGCGTGGGGGAGCTTGTTACAGCTCCTCGGGCTTCGAAATCGAGATTTAATCGCAGAGCTTGGGATTCGGCAGCGGGGCGGGATTGTCTTCGGGGCTGGGACCGCCCGCAGTATGGCCCGGGTCAACATCAGGACCTAGCAGTGGCGATGTAATTCTTGCAGGGGCAGAAGAGGCTGTCATTGCAAAGTGTCGTTCTTAAGTCATGGAGCCTTAGCTAAAGCCTTGACAGCAGAGAGCTGCGCTTTGGAAGCCGAGCATTCTTGGAGGCCCACTTCAATCGCGTGCCTCTTCTACCCATATCCTGCGATGGATACAGACTCTTGGCTGACATGACAGCTTCCTTGTCAAGGCAGGTAATGTAAGAAGTCAAGGGGGTAAGTTAAGGTGATTCGACGTCGCATCTCTCCAGTCAAGAAAAAATTTGAGAACCGCAAGAGCAGGCTCCAAGGTCCAGAAAGCGCAAGTAGATGCCAAGGCCGTCCGGATTTGAGAGCCACAGGCCTCACACGGGCACGCTCATGTCTGGGTTGCCGTCCTAGTGACCATCTACCAGCGTGCAGAAAACCCTGCTGTGTTTCATGTTGAAACCGACAATTTGTCAACCATATCCTCGAGTCAAGCCCCTCGCGCTTGAACCGAACTGCTTGCAATGCTGCTTGCACGGATCGAGGACTCAGTTCTTCCGTCAATGCTGCACAGCTCCTTGGAGATCAGAGCTGCGAGCAATGTTATTGTTGTGACTCCGTAGACTAGGGCGACTCGGGCTGGTGATATTGAGTTGGGGCATTCCTGCCTACCCTTCCAAGGCTTGTCAATGCCTGGAGCCCCGACGACTTCCAGCCCCTTCTGGCTGTGGGCATCCAGGAGGCCACCTGCTTCTTACAGCCAAAAGCAGCGCATGCCATGCCATGCTGGGCATCGCTCTTTCGCTTCAGAAGATGTCGGGAAGGGCTGTCGAGTCGTGGTTGCAAGATGTTGTACTTTAATACCGAATCAAGCCAAGAACCAAGAAGCAGTTAATTTTCACCGATGACATTGGTGTTAGGTCATCCGTATGGTCCTCCGTACAACATGTGACGAAGTCAACAGCACACTGGCTAGGTGTTGCGCGGCATTATCCGTGTATTGCACTCGCGTTCGTTGCAGGACATGATCGATGCGATGATTGAGCACCTCTACGCCCTACCTTCCATTGCTCTCAACCGTCGCGGGAGTATGGAGGAGCCGGTCTGTGTCCACTTTACAGCCGAAAGGATCGGCAGCGTGCGACACTTTCAAAGGCCGAGCAGTGTGGTTTGACAGAGATGATGGGTCGAAGCATAGGAAACGAAGTTGGGAGCAACATAGCACAACCAGTCTTGTCGCCAGGGCACTTTTAAGAGCCCACCGACCTAATCCCTGGTGTCTGTTGCAGGACCAAGAGGCCACGATTCTTCGGGTCATCACCAGCAGTGAACCTTGGATGAGATTCTATAGGTAGCGGCCCAGCCTTGCGTTGTCCTGCTTCATTCCGGCGTTAGGCGAGGTGACAGAGTCCAGTGCAGGGCCAGCAGCAAGTAACACGAGTAATTTGGTTGCATGCAAGTGGGACCACGGAAGCTGAGACTGCTGTGCGAGTATAGTATGTCAAACATCGCGCATACGACCTCATCTGCGACAGGTCATGTAGAATCTCTTGTGTTACGAGAGCTCATCCTGCAAGGCTTCTGCGTTTGAACACCGAACTGCATATGCACACTACTGTTGAGGAAATGAAGCGTCGTCGCTTTGTCGATTCTGCGTCCACATCGGGGGGTGCACGTGCTCCTTGGCAGCAGTGGCTAGAACGGTTGTTTATCTTTGACAACACTTAGGGAGTGCAGAACTGCAAACGCCTTGCCGGCAATGTAGCAGAAGTAAAAGCCTTGGTAAGCCTAGTTTGGGATGCGTATGCTCTACCCATAAACCTCGACCAAATGTCAGCCGGGGATGCAACTCAAGGTCTTGATCATTGGGCACACAGAGGCTTGGGCCTTGGCAGTGCCACAGTGCATGGGTGCGCTGAGTCATGCGAGCATTTTTGAGAAATGAATTTGCTCCGAAGCAAAAACGAGTCAAAGGCGTTTCAGTTGTAGAGCGTTTCTTGCCAAAAGGATCGCGAGAGTTTCCGGATGCTCTCATGTCCGAGCGCAAGAGGGATCTGCTCGAGCACCTGCTTGTTGAATCTGGGTAGAAGCAAACGCCGCTTTGCCGCGAAGCTTTGAATGTTTTTTTTGCCACCCTCCCCCCTTGCTGAGCTTCACGGCGGGCAGGTCGGGTGAACTCAACATGCCTTTCACCGACCATCTGTTACTGCAGGTATTTGCCTCCAGCTTTCTTTTGCACTTCATCAAAACATGCGCCTTTCCCTGTGGATGGGTTTGCGGACTCTGCTCAAGTACAGCCCCATCGATTCCTGTGTAGAAACGATGCCTCGCTGTGAGTTTTGAGTCATGTAATGAAATCTCTTTCCATTTGCTACGGCCTGCTCGCCTGGACCAAATCTGTCCGTCGTTCCAACTTGAAGAGTAAAGATCCAAATCAAATGGTCAACCCCGTTGTGATCGGAAGCTTGAGAGAAGGCCGACTGTCGATAAACCTTCTTTGTTGTGACCCTGGGTTTGTGTTATTCTATGTGCAACGCACGGAAGCCCCAAAAATCTGAACCAGACGCCTGTGCAGCTTCAGTTTTTGGCGAGACTCTGTAAGGATGAGGAGGCCATGTCTGCCAGCATGATGCTGCAGATGGAGCTACAGCGCCTGCTGCAGGAGCGAGCTCGTTTTTGCGATAGGACTGTCTTGCTGCTGTAAAAATGTTGAAATGAGCACTAGCACTGGACCTAGCACTAGCAACAGCACTAGCACTATAGCACTAGCAGCAGCTAGAACAGTAGCAGTAGCAGCAGCAAAAGCAGGAGGTGTAATAGTGGTAGTAGTAGTCGTCGTCGTAGTAGTTGCAGCCAGAACAGTCGCAGCAGTAGTAGAAGTAGTAGTACTGTAGTAGTAGTTGTTGTTGGTTGTGGTTGAGGTTGACGTTGTGTTTGTGTTATTCTGCTGTACATGCGACAAATCTGCACTTACATGTCCGCTTTCCTAATGGTTTCCTTTCTGATGACTTTTGTCGCTGCATGCTTTGGCCTTTGGAAACTCCTTGTTTTTCTTGCTTGCTTTTTTCATGGTTTTCTTTCTTTCTTTTCTGTCGTTTTTCTTTCAGTTTGCAGGGGGCGCGAGGTCCGGTGACAAAGCTCGCGCCAACGAAGCTCTTTGTCACATGGACAGGTAAACGTACCTGCGACCAGTTCCTGGGTGCAAGAGCACAGCTGGATTGGTCACATGCAAAACCATGATGATGATTTTCTTGGTTGTCCGAAACTTTTCACTTCACTTCACATGTTGAAACTTGGACATGTCTGCAGAACGCCTCCTCAGTTGTGTTCGGCAAGAGCTCCCTCATGAGGGCCTTGTCGCTATTCGGCGAAGTTGCCGGCCCACCGGGGTTCTTGTTTTAGCAGCTTTGGAGATCATTTCCGTTTCACAACATGTTCAAGTGGAGATCACTGAGTGGAAATCACACTTCCGGAAAGCAGAGTGGAGTGGCGTCCGGAGATCACTGACGATTGCATATGCTGTCATGTTTAGGCATTTTCTGGCTTGAGACTCGCATTCAAGTGTTGCTCCTGCACCCTGCCATGGATCGTGAGCGCTCCCCACGCCGTAACCCCTACTGGAGCTCCTCCTTGCCTGCTTCGGTCCCACCTGCCCCTGTGAGTTGGCAAAATCCCACACCCCGTCCGGCCCCACCAGTGACTCGACCGACAGTGCTTCAGCCACAAAACCTTACGTGGCAACCTAACCCACGGATCGCTCAGATTATGAACATTTCGCCGACCCCCCGCATCCCCGGTCTCCCTTCCCCACCTTCTGCAAACTCCCCTCGAGTTTTCGGCCCGATGCTACCTGCTGAGTTCTGCCAGAATCCGAACTATTTGGACTCCCGTTGTATTGCAGGCTTGAACTTGGCTCGCTGGGTCAAGAAGACTGATTGGACAGTTTGAAAGCAGATTGACGGATGTCCAACCCACATGATACCGCTTCATTCGTTGCTCTATCAAGGCTGGAATTCGTATTGGGTACGTCATATTGCAGAAGGCAAGCCGACTTTCTTCGCAGGTTTCAAGTCGATTGGCGAAGTTGTATTTTGTCACGCACTGTTCGGAAAGTTGCGAGATGAAGAAGTCGACTTGGATGAGCTTGCTTCTATTCTGCTTGGTACCAATGATCCCGCTTCCAAGAGCAGTGGCTCGGATTCCAAGTCGCAGGCCACACATTTGTTGGCGCAGAAGGTTGTTGACTACATGTTAGGTCTGTATCCTCAGGCCTCGGTTGACACGGAGAAGGCAGCCATGGCGAATCAGATTCAGATTCTTCAACAACAACTTGCGAATTTCGAGAATGCCTCCCCTTCCCGCTCTTCTAACCAAGGCGTTGCAGATCAGAAAACTTTGCCGATTGAAGAAAGCCCCCCGGGCCGTGTACCAGAGTCCGCACCCTCAGCTCAAAAAGTTCCTGATGGTGCAACCCGTCTTCTTCGTGGTCAGACTGGTGAGCCCAAAAGTAATCTCATGCAGGCATTCCAGAAAGGAAAACCATCGGGGAGCCAGGCAGAACCGTTGAGCATTGAGAACGATGAAGTTGAGACCCAAGGTCGTAGCCCAGGAAATTCGAGCTCTGCTCCTCAGCCTGAGTATGGGACATCCTCGCATGTTGGACAAGTTGTGAAGATTGTTCTCACGGATCCATCCAAACGTCACTTCTTGAGTCGCAGCTGGAAAGCTTGCAAGTCGGACAAGGAAGTGTCGACATGGATTGAAGGCTTGAATTTGAGCAAAAACAATCGCCAGAAGCTTCAGACATGGACGGCTCATGTGCAACGATGGCACGCGGACCTTCCTTCCAATGAGCAGGCCGAATTGGATCAGGTTGTTGCCAACTGGGGTGTGCCCATCCGTGATATTCCCAAGCTTAAGGCGAGTTCCTTGCTGCGTATTCTTGCTGCCGGAACAATTCTTGTGGCTTGACTACAGGCCATATTGGATGCCAGAGACCTATATCGCAGTGGAAATCCACCACAAGGTTGGTGGAAAAAGCACCGAAGTGAAGTGGATTTGCTTCGGAATGCTCATCTATTTTTCCAAGGTCTCTACGAGACACCCACCATGTTCGGACGACAATGGATGGACATTGTTATTTGGATTCGTGGAAAACTCCTTTTGCTTGCTTGTGAGTTCGGGCTTGTACAGTTGCCATTGACCTCTCAGCTTCGTTTAAAATGTTCCAGCTACACCTGGAAATTCTTTCAGACGCAGTCGGTGATCTATTGCCGCATCTTTCTCCAGCCTGAGTTACAGAAATTCATGTATGTCGGATCATCATCCCAAACATTGGGCGACCGTGAGCGTACAAGATGGGGGAAATACCAACAGATCCGAGCGGGCAAGTCTGTATGTGGTGAACTCTCATTGTTCTGGCATTACCGACGGCGGAATTATCACATGGCCATTCCTTTGTTAATCATGCATGTCCCACAGGCCGACTGTCTACATACAATTGAGCAGACGTTCATCAACTTGCTCCAGCCACGCCTTAATGCTCCCTGGGTTCGTTCTCTTGTAAGGGCAAAACATGCACAGATTGCCAACTCCGATCCTGTCAGATGTGTTCGCAGATTTGTGACTTCGTGGAGAACTTTCCGACGTTTCCGACGTCGGAACGTCCAGCTTACTGGACTGACTCCATCGGTCTTTCGCTCAACACACATCGTTCAGAACATCGTATACAGCTATCAGATTCTGTTCGACTTAGCTTCTGACGGGTTGAAGTCCTTTCTTGCTCAAAAGTTTTTGCGCAGCAACAGAGTTGACTCCGATTTTCTTTACAGACTATTTCGGATGGCCACTCATCTCGGTGACCCTTTCTATGAGACGATTTGCAGGTCCAGATTGAACACGGTGCTGCAATTTCGGCAGTTGAGGTGTCCAACCACATGCCGGCCCTTATCCACTCCGTTCTTGTTACCGGAAGCAGGCTTCAAACGCTTGGTTCGTGGCATGTTGGGAGATATTCTGGATGTTTCGTCAGATCGACTGCTACCGTACCACATTCCAGCGACCTCGCTTGTTGCAAAAAGCCACCCCAAAATCAGAGAGGTTTTGTTCTCGCACAAGCGAATCTTGCAGTTGTGGGACCCGCATGAGGAACCACAGAGGGCCGGTGTCACATGTTGTTGCTCCGAGCTTCTTCGACATCATCCACACTTGACTGTGGTTCAGGGTCACATTGCATCTTCTGCCACTTTGTTGTCTTTGCCGCATGACTTGACTCAGCTGGCTCAGTCCAGTTGCTCAAATCCGGTATTCATGACCGCCACAGATCATTGGAAGATGTTTCTTGATGACGTGAGAC